ACAGAACTCAACGCTAGAGAATAGTCTCTGAGTGAACCATCCTCTGCCAGTTTACAAACAGCAGCCTTAACCTGCATTCTTAATTTGTCGTTAACAGACGCTTCTTGTTAAATCATAGTAACAAATCTTTGTATATGACCGCATATTGTGTACATCAAATTCGGACGTTTAAAAATCCCCTGAACGGACGGAAGACTGACTTTTTGATGAATTGTTCACAAACATAGAGCAGTCTCCCTGGCTAAAGATAATTTACATAGGTAAGAGGCGGATAAGAACCAGTCTGGGAAGTAGAGCTGATGTAAATGAAGACAACTGACACAAGTTGCACACTTTGGTCGCTACGGTCAACATTCTGCCTTATCCCGCACGATTTGCACGCTGTGGAAAAGGGCCACTATCGAGTAATCATTTCTTAAAATTACCGCTCAATTAAAATGTTATTTTCGTTTTCAAATGGGAAGATTTCCCATACGCTCAGCTGAATTGAGACTTTACAGGACTAATATATTCTTCCATAATAGCCCTTAGCACTAATGAAAGTGAGGCTCTCTTCAACAATGTTGGGTTTGCCCATATCTTCTTCCATACACTCGCAGAAAGCGGTAATTTTCCGGTGAAACGTTGGCTGGTAGGTTGAAGAATACTTCTAAAGGTTCAAGAAGTTCCCAAAGTAACGCATGTGATGCGCCTCACTTTCATTATAATAGAGTGTTTAATAGGTAATACAAACAGGGGAGCTTAAATTAGAAGATGGGAATCAACTGAAGAATGCAGTTTCGGCACCTCGCTCCTTCTAGAGACAAACGCGTGACTGCTACGTACCCTGACAATTGGCTGTCTGCCTAATCCGCCACTCACGTCGAATGCAGCCTCAAACCATGATGCGGGAGCATCGTGTGCACAAACCGGATTCCTGCCTGCATCCAACGCGCCCTGTTTTGGGCAATGCGATTTCGCAATGCCATTGCTTTAAATCACAGGGTTTGGCACAATTGCCAAGGCACTGGAACTGGATTAGATCAACTGGCTATGCTTGCAGAAGTAAGTTTTAAGTTTTGCTTCTTTTTAAATAGCAATGAACAAACTGCTATGATTTTGATGTAGTGTGGGTACGCAGGAAGAGGGCCCATTAAAGTATTTACTCAGTATTGTAAAATATTTTGAATATTTTAATTAATGCAACCGAAAGAGTTTAAAATATTACTAAGCAAGTAAAATGCAAAGTCCTGTGAACGGTTTTAACAGGCCAAGGCTAAATAAAAGATACGCAATTGCACGAAATTTACCCAAAAAAAGGAACAATATTGCTGCAGCAGTAAACCCCATGCATGAATACTATGCAGAGTTGGCGTTAAGTGATTGTATTGCATAAGAGTAGAAGCTAATTTAATTCCTCCTTAAACACTTTACCTGTTATTTCCCACAGTGTTGGTCTGCGCGTTTCCAACAGTGGTATGGGTTGTTGCCATTCGTATTACCACTGAAAGGCCTTCGAATGGACAAAAGAACGTGCAACTACTAGTTGGGTTAAAACGCAAAAAAGCAGTTGATTTAACTGCTCCAGACGAAAGCCCGCCAGGACAATATATTATTAGCTTCTGCCGGGGTGCATACCACACGAGCATATAAATAGCACACATGCACATCCCAGAACAAGTAGTTCCACTTTGAAGTGGGAGGAAGGAGGGGGGTTAAGTTTTCATCAATCCGCACTCTCACGTGACCTGCATCCTCAGCGTAATGCCAGACCGCCTTCTCCCCCGCCTTCGTTTGTAGCAGATATAAAGCCACTTCTTTCTAGCTCTCGTCATCCCACTCTCTTACGTTTCTGAACGAAGAATTGCACTCCAAATTAAGGTGTCCAAATTACTCTTTATGATGTGCTTATTAGGCTGGCTGAGTAATATGGATGCCACAGTGAATGCATTGAATGGTCGGTTGCGCACGAACCTCACCGAGTCCTGACTTCAGTCTTATTCACTAAAAGAATAACAGTTGTGAAAAGTCTAGACCAAGACTGCTCTAAACCTTTAAAGGCATTCTGTGAGTTTCATTCTAGAGTAGTCCCGAAAGCTAATTACAGCGTATAAAAGGCTCCGTCTTCTTGCATAATGAGAAAGAGGTTCATTAATAATCCATTAAATGTGTCTTACAGGCAACTGGAACGCAGGATTATCATCATGATGAAATTATTGCTGCTTGGTGTGAAAACAAAAAACGGTGCAAAACCTGCTGACTTGGAAACCAAAAAGGAGTTCAAGTTTTAATTTACCTATAACTTCATTCACTTATCCAATTAATTCTACCTTTATTTACTTAGTTATTTACGCTGAGGCGTAGAAGAGAGGAGTATCAACAACTCTTACTAGTAACTTTTCTATCCGACGACCTTTGTGATCTTCTAAGCTTAACCTTCACTGCTGATAATTGCCATATACGATCCAAAAAGAGTTGAGGATTTTTCGTATTGTATTGCTGATCTACTTTCCTCGTGTTAAGTTCCTGACTAAAGCCCATTAATCCAGTGAAATCATTGTAACGCTCTAAGTAAAGACAAATTAATCATTCAAACGCCTTTGAGGGTATGACCGGGGCCGATGACACTATAATTTGAAGTAGATAAGTAATAAAGTGAGCGCCAATGAAATACCCCTCATTGAATGATTCGTGTATGGGATAGCCCAAGTAATGAAGCGGTACCTAGACAATCTGAATAGACCGAACGTTTCACGGCGGTGATGCGGAATGTTCGAGAGCACGGTAGAAAGCGGTCTGAGAAGTGAAAGACAACTGTGTTAAGCGGTCAACTTTGTAGATGAGTTTCACTGGAATTAAAGCGGGTAAACTTCCAAACTAGTTAGTTTTTTACGTCCTATCCTTATTTTAAGTGCGAAAATAGACAAACGCTAGTACTTTATCCAATAGTTCAGCCGTGCTCGCTAAAACCTTGGAGGCTATAACTGACAAACGTATGCCAAAAACAAAGGGTTGTCAGTTCCTTCGACACAAGCAAATCTAGCTTATCCAAAGCCTAAAATCTGTACATGAAAAACTTATTTGCTTTACAAGCTTAGTAAAACAGGCGTTTAATTGTAATTGTAGAGCAGTCAGAATACAGTCCATGTAGTGTTGCGTTCATTCAATTTTGCGACGAGACTTCTGGCTTAATCAAACTCTAGTTAAGTACACGGTAAAATTAACACGTGAAATATGACAGAACGAATTTTTGGATCTCCCTCGCATTTGTCACCACACAATCAGATGCCTGCACATTAGTAAAGCGTTTCTAATGGTTCATTTCATCATAACATCCCCTTCACAGCTTAAATAATAACTACTATAATCAATAAAATTTGGAGCCATTTGCGAATGAAGTACTAGTAATATTAGGGTTTACCAGATTACCGTTAGACTTATGTGGGATGATATTTCTTAGGCGGCCAGTTAAGAGCTTGCTTTATGAGAAATAAAAAGTCTCACATTAAACAAAGGTAATACAAGTGGAATTTGAATTCACATTCTCTCTTATTGTTAGAATGTCCTTCCTGTTTTATTAGCTCTTAAATTATTTTCTCCGAAACTAATAAACAACGGCTCTTGGTTGTTCACCGGAGGCAATAATGAATACACCTGCTACTTGAATTACAAAGCATTCTAGTATGTTTTGTTTACGAGTTCTCAGATGATCTTTTGTTAAATATGCGGATTTTACAAGACCTTAATAGATGTATTTAAATTTTAAATATAAATGGGTACGAGGCTTGATTTAACCGCACAGTCTCCGTCATAACGCTTCTCTTAACTGCGAGGGCATCTAAGGCCCGCTGGCTATGCACCCACCGAAAGCTAGGGTCCTTCAGCCACACTTAAAAATGTCGACTCCCCTGTACGACCTACGACCACATAAGGAAGACTTTGAGCATCCCTACATCTTATCACAAATCAATACTGTATTTTTATGGAAATTAATGATTACTTTAGGATGTATTCACTTAAGTACTAATACTGTCATGTTGTAACGCTTAAGAAAAGGAACATATAGCTATTAAGTATGTCGTAAAGCTCTTGGAACACTTTGTAAGAATTGAACGTTGCGGTTTGTACCGCTACGCTTTCCGCATTAAGTAGAATATTCATTTGCTTAGTGGAAAACTAGTTCAGGTGTAAGTTTATTAAAGGCAATTTAAGCTGATTTTATGGTTTAGAAGTCCAAAGACTAGTCTGGTATTTGGTGGAGCGCAACACAATTTTAATCCAGCAAAGTCATAGAATCTCTCCATAGTAATTACGAAATAAATAGCGCGGTAAGCAGTTCGTTGCATATGGGTCCGATACGCAGGTAATGCATTTCAAGCCAATGTATCCCTAAAAGTGTTATCCATTTATGTAATGTACGGTTCTTTGAATGCACCCCTTCGAGGAGAGACAGTCAGTGGACACGGATCTCGCCGCCGAAAGGACGTCTCCTACCGCTGAGAAAGAGTGTAATCGAAGTAAACATAGCACAATTTCCCCTTTCTCATTAATAGCGCGACCAATAAATAATGCCATTAGCTAATCAGTCTACCCATTCCAAGGGCATAAAGGTCGGGGCGATGGAGAGCAACGGCCAACCAATTCCTGAAGTAGCTGGAAGCTATTGTGGTAAAGTTCAGTGCCTTATTTCTAACTCAGTTTAACTATTTTTAAGTTTAGAAAGATGTTATCCTACGGTAGTAAGCCCAGGAATCTGGCAGTGTTTTCATCGAAGTTCCGTACTGAGTAAAAATATTATGCACTCAAATGGGAGCAAGACTAGGGAGGACAATGTCGTCTTCACTCCGTAATATACAATAGCAAGTATAGCTTTGTATTCAGTTATTCTGTAGAGGCTGAAAATTAGTATTTTGAAATAGTTTATAAGAATATTATATGCGGAATATTTGTTTAAATCGTCTGCTTTTGGTGCTACACAAGAACTTGTGGGGCTGCGCCTCAGGTTTGGGATCAGAGACGGGATGGAGGTACGTCAGTCTTAACAGTTACACATAAATGGTGACTTGCTTTGCGCTTTATTTTATCGTATATGTTGTTTGTTTCTAGAACATCGAGTTGTTAGTCAGAATCCCTCCAAATAAACTATTTGGGCTCTTCCCCTTATTGCGCAAACATTTCCCTGGACTTCTTGGATTTGATTCTCCAGAACGCCTTTTTCCACTAACTATTGAGGAAGACTCGAGTGTGAGGCTTTTGGCGATGTTCTAGTATCAATTTGTCCAGGTCTTTGTGGTGATAAGCATCTTCTGCGAGGTTCATCATTTGTAGTTTTTTAGCTATTTTGTGTATTCGGTGCGCTTCGGAGATCTATTCATAAGTGCTACAAATAACTCAGAATAACTTATCTTGCATTCAAGCACATGTTCGTGTCAAGTCTTTTTGCTCACCTGATTGTTACGCATTTTCCATTTTTACTCAGATATCCATTGGCATTTTTAGAACTGCAAGTACATATGTTGTGACATAAATCGGTTCATGGGCGCCACAAGATCACCTTGGACGGGTGCTTTTCAGCCACCCATATCTGATCCACCTCTGCCCAAGGAACAAAACAGACATCTCGAGGAGTTGCTTAATACCGCTTTTTCTTATTATGTTAAGTCGTGAGTCCTTACATGATTATTTTCGTTCATCACATCCATATTGAAGTCACTGCTGTTTACCTCTCCTATCACTGACTTTGCTTCGATGGACACTTCATTTACATTTAGTAGCTTTGCAGGTGAATTTGCGGTTGACTTGCTTTCAGGTATTACTATTCGCCTGATACAGTCACATCAGTTTATTGTCTTGGTCGAGATGTCGGCACCCTAGTTTGTGCTTTAATCAAGTCGCCTCTGGTGGACATCGTGTACTTAATCGATGTTAAAGTAAGCCGCTCCCTTTCACCTGTTTTACAGTGTTTAGCCATCGGTTGCACACCGACTTTGTTCTTTCCGAACAATGCCTGAACATCAGCAGGATATGTTATTTTGATAAATATTACCCCAGTTTCGTGTTTTTTGAGATGAGTTTATCATACTTGTAGTTACTTTATTCCATTGTGAGTCGAATAAATATAAATAATGTACTGTATGCTTTACGGATCATTGGACATTCCTTGGAATTACTTAACTTTTTTGATTTTATGCTCAACAGAAGTCAGTTGGTTCAGCCATTTACAGTCTTTCAGTCGTCTATGCAATCAAACTGATGAAGGACGATTTTTCAGATAGGGGTATCAATGATCTTTGCTTCTGTTTTTACCTCCGTCAAAATCGCTCTGAAGAGCTAAAGGTATCAGCTAATGTAAATGAATCTCATGTCAGAAACATTGGCGTCTTGATAGAGGTAATTGTTACTTTTTTAGTAAAGCTACGCTTACTTTTCGCAATCGTTATAAATCATATTTTACTTGAATTTGGGGCTCAATCACCTACTTGTATTTGCGCGCATTTACTTGGTGAGCACTAACACCTTTTGTGCTGTTTAGAAAAATACATAATCGGTGTTTCAACATGCTGCTACAGTACTATTATCATCTTATCTGCTTACTATTCGAATCACTTTTTCTTTTTTTGCCATTTATTTGAAATCTTAGTGTAGTTCACTATTAAATCAGCCTAGGAGCATGCTCAAGACTTAGTGGTACCACTGCAAACTTTTTTTCAAGGTACTCAGCGTGACACTTCTCCATTATTTTTAGGAAATGGATAATGATGTGTTCGCCAGGTTTAAGACCGTATATCCCATGCAAACGATGTTAATTCTACAGAATTTACGTACAGATAACTCCAGACTTCCACCAAAACCGACAATCGCCTTCAAAGAAGAGCTTTCGGCTGCATTGTTGTCCCGTAGCGATATGTGATCCAGCTACATTGGTTCCCGTTTTTATCTAACCTTGGTTTCGTTTTATTTTCTGAGTACTTGATTCTTTTTCCCCTTTTGTCTTCTACTCTTTTCCAGATAATCATTTTATGTGTCCAGTGTCTTCCTCTAAAATAAAAGTTCTACTGACTTATCTTTGTTTTTTCCCTGTGCTGGCCCCTTGCCAAATAAAGTGAAGAGCAGGGTGTTTCATCGCAGGCTCACTCACAACGACTGGAGGGCCACCTGCGGACGTGCGAGCACCTCTCCCGTTGGGCGGCCTCAAACATTCGCGATGTACGACGCATTCGGCTCCTCCTGATGAGTCTTCTTGACAGGCCCGCTACCGACCCCGAGGCTGACACCCAGGAGGTGGGCAGGCAGTCGGATGTGGGTGCAGAGCTCAACGACATTGAAGTGTCTATTCGGAAAATGAAGTTAGTTCACTAAGCTCTGGATCTTCTTCATTGCCACTTGACAAAGCTTTATCTGGTTCCTAGCTATGCGTCTCTTTAGATCACTTGTGGATAGTCTGGACAAATCGGCAACTAAGTCTAAAAAGCAAATGGACAGTCGTTCTATGCTGCCATACAATCTTGTCCTCCCTCTCGACCAAATGGACGTCCAGATGGAAAGCGGAGACTCTTTGCGTCGCGTTGATTGGCTTGTTGGCCGAAACGAGGCCTGTCGTTGGCTGCGTCGAACGAATTACCGAACAGAGGCCATTCAACTTAGTCTGGCTAGTTGTGGTCGATTTATGAGGTACTTTTTGTGCCGTTTCCTTCCCATCCCTCAAAACATTACAATTGTTGTGTGACTATGCTGTTTTTTTTATAGAAATACTACTCTCGTTCCTCTTTCCTCAGGCATGGATCTAAGGAATCTGGCAGCACCACAGATGAGCTTCGCACTGATTGAATCGAATTCTCGTAATCCAATTCTCTACGTTAAGGTGAGACTTGAAGCCTTTACCGGTTAATCTTTTTTCTTTCCGCACTAACTCAATCTTTTCTCCTACACAGGTGGGGGATATCATGCACTGCCTCATCACTTTTGGTAATCTTTGTATGGAAAACATCATTATACGTGGTCTAGATGAGTCGCATTACGCGTCTGGCCACACATTACGTCCTCAAGCCGCGAATCCCGGCACATTTCCGCGAATTTCTCAAGCTATGTCTGATCTACTCTACTCTCGAGCAATCAGTGGCTTCTCTACCAATCTCTTGCCGAACGTTGACACTGTAGGTCCTTTCGGATGGTTCTTACTCGTCCAAATTTTGTCCTCTGCCCATCGGCCTTCCTAGGTTCCCTTCATACCTTCACTTAGTTCTCCGTTTAGCTTGTTTACTTTTACTTTATAACGCTACTTATTCCCATAGACCGTTGTTCCTTTCTCCAATATGGTTGCTAATTGGCTTAGCGAATTTCTAAAGGTTATTCTTGGGTTGCTCCCTTCCTCTTCTTTTACTTTTCTTTGCCCTTGTACTTCGCTTTTTTTGCATCTCTGAAAAAAGGAAAAGTTTGGGTACTGACTACTGTGGGAGGTAAGGTCTGTTCTTGTACCCATTAGATGCCAGAGGGTTTGCCGCCGACGGCGAGCCAACTGGACCTCACAACGCCCAGTCGCCACGTGACCTTCGTCAGGGTGACAGAGGCGGCACGTAACGCGCTGGTACATTTCGCCACTACCACCGAGCCACCTACGCAACTCTCGGCGCTGCACCAGTTCTGCGACTGGCTGCAGACCTACACGCGCCTCTTCACGGAGCCCTGCGTGAACTGTGACCAGCTGTTGGGCCAAGATGCTGCCCTTCCCGTCCTCCGCACCTTCCACACCAACCCCGCCAATGCCCGCGCGCAGCATGAACAGTGTCGAGTTAGCACCTCTAGTTTCGCCTTTTGAACGTCCGTTCCAGTGTACAGGACTACTTTGTATAAAAGTAGCAACTATACAAATTTTGCCGTACAGTATAGCCTTTGTTCTTTTCTCAATGTTTATATTGGGACTCATAGACGCTGGGGCGTTTATGTATGAGATCTTGAGGGGTCGTCGCCTGAAGTGAGTACAAGGTACACACAGGAAGCTCTGATTGGTGCGGGAGGCCTCTGTGTTGTAAGGTCGTGGTACTCTATAAGGCAGTTTTTGATGGGCAAAGCTCTGAAGGACTGATGACAGTGTGGAAGTGGAGGTTCAGGCACTTTTAGTGATTGCGGTGAAAGTAGTAATCTACCGATTATGATCACCTTTCAAAAGGTGTTACCTGGGTATATGATTCATTTCATACCATAGAACTAGGACAAATTTCATTAGAGAACAGTGTTTCTATCCGTAAACACTTTAAATGATTCACTGCCTGCTTCACCTCAACTCTATGCCCCCTTTTGTCAGATTTTCCAATACATTTGATCAAGTGTTGCACAAGCCCCTTCAAATTTTGATTTTGACGAAATTTTGTGAGCAAATTGTAAAAATCATTAATATCAGAAAAAAAAATTATGGTAACTACTTTCTTAGTCAGGAGTTTCTTAACGGAGACATTCAATCAACTCATGTAGAATGAGATAATTTGTAGCTGCCTTGACTATTTTTACAGCCATGATCACTTTTTAACTAATTAAGAAATTTATTGGAGTCTATTATTTAGTCAGCGCCCGAAACAAAATACTATGTCTGGGACTCGATTGGTGGGACCGGTGTATTAAGGTCGTTATGCAAGCTTCAACAAAAAAGGTATTTATTTCGTGTTAGCAATTTCCGTAGCCACAAAGCCAGCTTAAGTATATTCAGTCTGAGCATTTTTCAAGACTGCTGTCAAAACAAAATAATGAAACAGAGCTGCTCGAAGATATGAGGTATCAATTTAGAAGTGAAATCATTTCCTAGGAGTTTTTGTAAACAGAGAGCAATTTTGGACAAAGAATATGGGCAGGCATTGCAAAAGTTATGCTCCTCTTTTCTTAGCAAGAAGGAGTTTCTAGCTCTTCCGAATCCTCCCAACACTGGGTAAATGTGCGTTTAATTCATTAATCCTTGTAGACACCGCTCCGTATGGGATATTTGGAAGTTATTTTTGCAAGAGTTCAACGCTCTTGCCCTGTCTCACTTAAAATTGGCTGAGATACATCACCGACTCAGCCTAGAGTTAAAGCCTGTCAAGTCTCTTCGTGTCGCTGTATCCAAGCGAATATTTGAACAGCTTAAGTCACTGCAAGTATGACTATGTCAAGTTCTCCGTGTTTCTGTGTGGTCTTGACTTAGTTGCCTTGAAAACAACTTTTACTTTATTGTATGTGTTATGTTTTGCGAAGTCGGCACTCGATAGCAGCAGCATGTCTAATCATCTCGTCATGCTATATTTGAGTTGTATGATATGCACTATGATATCATCTGTAAGTACTGCTGATCCCACTTCATTATTTAGCATTCTAGTTTGTAGTATTATTTGTCCTCGTATTTCTAATTACAAATGCCCTTTTATAAAAACACCCGATATTTACCTAAGAATTGTAGTCTCCCTAAAGTAGTTTATCTGGGAACGATTATCGTGTGATATTTTCCCTCTGCATTCAGAATGATTTAGCTGCATCTATGCAAGAAATGGTAAAATCGCAGAAAATTTACTCTGAAGAAGAAAAACAGGCCCACGAGACGCGATTGAAGGCTATGAATATCGAGGACAAACTGCGTCGGCGTTCGACGAATCTATTCAGCACTATGGCTCAACTTCATCGCAATCACGCCAAGGTACTTGTTCCTTACATTTGTCTTTTTAGTGCTCCGGAGTTAAACAATTTTTTATTAGAACTAACACCATAAAGATGTCTTATTTTCAAACCAACACCATTTATTTAAATATACTTAGTAGTTACAGTCCAAAACCGTGGATCAATGAGTAGTCGCTTTTTTATAGTTAATTCTCCAACCGTAAGTCAGATCTTTTTGTAGATCCCTCGTTATTTTTATTGGCCATAGATCTCTCAGAGACGAGATGAGTACGAGAATCGATCTGCAGGAGCTCGAAATGAATACCTCTTCCAATTAACTGCAATAAATGCTCATCTTGATCACTATTTGAAAACTGACATTCCAGACCTTGCTCAGGTATGACAACTTTAAGTCTGTTTACAACTTTCCATAAGTCTGGAAGTGGAATGTGTTAAAGAAGTGTTTTCCTAGTTTCTGTTAAAGCAATAGTTCTGAGTTTATTCCGTAACCCACAAGGTTATTTTCCGTTTTTGCTGATTTGCCATCCAGCAGCGAAACATTTGCTTAGTTATAAAAATGATTTACGAATATCCCATTTTATTGCTACAAGTGCAAATAAATAGTATTTAAAAATTATCCACATGCGAATTTTGGCAAAAAATATTTCTTTGGTGTTGCTAAAACTTCATGAAACCTTTCGGTTGATATTCATTCAGCAAAATATTTTTTGATGATCCATTTTGAGTGAATTAAAATAGGCTAACAATTTTCATCCACCTGATTTCAAGAATTCAGTCTATTTGGCAAAATTTCCCAAATGATATAATGGTAGTTGCCTTACTTCTCAACGGAAATATTCGGGTTGGAATATTTTTAGAACCCTTAATCGATATAATCTAAATAGTTTCGATATTTTTAGTTCCTCGAGAACTTCATTAAGTATTTATGTGCAAGAATGTGAATTTGTCTCCTTCCTAAAACGTGGAGAAATTCCCTGGAGTTACTAAATTTGCTCTAATCATCGCCGTCCCTTCCTTACGTATGTGAAAGCTGACCATTTTCTACCACTTCACACAAACTGTAAAGAAGCGTTGTTTTCTCTTCGAAAATTTCACTGCATGGCCAAAAATATTACATAGCGCTCTTAAAAAGACGGCATCATTCAAAAAGCTATTGCGTTTAGCTGATACCTTGTAAAACTGCGTTTATGAAGGCCCGGCATCGATAGATGAGGTGATTTGCTGAAAAGTGCAAAACTAACCCTGCAACCTCGCCTCCATGTAGTCCTTCCCATTCTACACAGCAAAAGTAACTCCCAACATTGCCTGTGCTTAAGTGCGTACTTCGATCAGCTTTCAACGGTCGCTATAACGTAGCCCCAAGTTAACGATTAAGGCACATTTGTCATATGTGGGTTTGTGGGCCTGGTTTCTGCATTCCCAGTGGACAGATTTGCAGGGTCATAGTTACCTTAAATTAGTATTGCTATAAATGCTACTATTTATATGCATTAGGAGGAGTGTAGAACTTAGTGGGAAATGTAAGATATTTATTCACCAGAATATCACTTCCAAAACTTCATTTTGAAAAGTTGTAGTCCCCTTAATAAACGAACAATAGGCTATCCGTTCGTTTTTCGTCCCGTTTGACTTTGCGCTTGAAAGTTGGGTACATGCCATTTCCGACTGCTGTCTCACGGGGTTTTCTTTTTTATGCTTTAAAAGTCCCTTCCTTGAGAGTGGTGTACCGCACCTTTGCCTTTTATTTCTAGTCAATTGAGAGTATTAATTATAAGGTGGAGAAAATAGCTTCATGTCACTCATTCTCCATAGATCCTGGACGGGGACGTCTATGATCGATTTCGTGAGGTTCTTTACAAAACTAGTGAAATGGAACTCGAGATCTGTCGACACCATCAGGACCCACTTAAGGCTCTGTTGGAAGAATCAACTAAGGTATGCAATGTGGGAAAGAATGCCTGAATCGATGACCCGAAGTGATTACGTGGTTGTCTCAGTTTCTTGTCACTGATTCTCTCTAAGGGAACTTGTGATGCAAACGTCAACATTTCTAGAACCAGGAAGTATGCTGAAATAGCCTGCAAATCTCTTTACATGCTTTACAGGTGGTGTGAAATATGCCGTTTCAAGATATTTTTATTCTCAAATTCATTTTCATGCGTCCCAAATCGTCATTGGATGGACACCAATAACGTCAAAGCCGAGCCATAGGCTATATGACCTTCGATTTATTACTTTTAAGTGTGTAAATAGACTAGCTTCTTTTTCAGATTAATCGAAAGACTGCCTGGGAAAACTTCATTAAGGAATTGCCCATTTTCTCTGCTGATGTTGAATTTCATTTCGAACCTCGAGATGGTGATACGGTAAGTCTCATACATTACGCTTTTTATCGGAGTTTTTTGCAGTTAAACATGACAGCATTGTTGACTTCTGTTTGTTTTTGATTTGAGCGTCCTATTTTACGTTTGAATGTGCCATGATGTCATATGTTTCATGCTTCAGCTTCATAAGACATGAAATGGTGATTCTATAGACGACTCAGTGATGACTGACATCCAATGAACATCCAGGTTTTCAGTAGTTGAATGAGGTTGAGAATTAAAATATTGCCTTTTAACATCGAAGCTGCTACCTTATTGTAAGTCAGAAATTATTCATAAATGGACGTTTTCTTTGTATAGATGATCATACCAATTAACAGTGAGTTTTCCTTGTATATCGGAAGGCTTAACCATCTGTTTTCTGTAATGTTCCGTTATTCGGAGTTATTTGAATTGCTAACTTCGTATCTGTGGCTACCCCGAACGTTCGAACTTAATTTCTGTTTACTTTATGCAATTAGTTTATGCACCCAAATCATATCCTCATAGGCAGATTAAATCTGGCGTGTTTGATAATCGCTATCGATATTGCGCCTTTCATAAGATAATATATTATCCTGCAGTCTACCACATCGGTACCCAATGATAACTATTATTAAAAATCTGAACCTTGTGTTGACAAGTAACTCGTCCTCAAGTTAACATTTTAATTGGACCGATCTCTCCGTATATTCTACAAACTATTCTTTCTTGGATTTGAACGCATTAAGTACACGCTGTCTTTGGACAATGTTTTAAATATTCGAATGCATAGGTCCAAGAAATCCCATTGCACATAATGTATGTTTAGGTGTAATAATAAGTTGCGCAAACTTCCCTATTGTACATCTCCTGTCTTTATCGTGCAAAAGGGTACACCTCAACGGGTTACTTGATTTGAAATTTCTCTTTAATCTCCCCCAATTAAGTTAATCATTTTTGTTACCTGTCTTGAAATCAGCCGTCGCCCCATAAGCGTACAAACCAGCTTGGTAATTAAAATCTGATGTCTTAATACTATTTGTTTTTCCTTTATTAAAGTGTAATTACTTCTGAGAGCTGGGTTCTTAGACTCCTGCTTATAGAAAACTGTGTTGTTTTAGACATTAAAATAGACTTTGTCCGGTCATTATCTACGTTTGATGGAGGTGGCTCACTATTTAAACATAAATCAGGACTTCTTGAATCTCATTAAATCATTCCTCAATCTGGTGGTTGGTCATTACACTGCATCTTAGGCTGTAACTCTACTATGCGTTAGGATTTTGTAGGGGCTCATTGTATTTCTTTCGCTTTCTATCTTATAAAAATAGTGTATACAAACAAGCATCACAGCAAACTGTACATCTTCAAGTAGTATAAATCAACTTAAGAAATGCTTTGCTTTCTGCCGCTTAATATCACCAAGATCTTAACTATTAACACTATTAAGCAAGCACTTCAAACTAAAGTGGGGATTGTTAATTTGGCTTAATTTTTCTTGTGCTAATGTTTAGAATAAAAACAATTTCTTAAAATTGTCTCCCTTATAACATCTGGTTTTCTCAGATCAGAAAAATGGGCTTTTTTGCGGTTATTTTAGTACAACGTTTGTAAAAATGGGTAGGTTGTCCAATGCATAACAGCACACAACATACCATAGTTGAAAAATGTTACATTAGTTTTGATTGTTTTCATTAGCAATGGAATAACGAGTCCCGTATTAACGAGTCGCATCTGCATGAAAGAATGCGAAATCATCGGGAAACCGGTTCAAATGTGTCCGCTCATTACATCAAGCCTTTCATAGTTTCCATCAATAACGGGTAGATTCAGTCAACCTCATATTTACTAATCCTCTTAAGCACCTTTTACGATGCCCCCGATTTTGCGATCGATTGTACGGCTGATAGCGTCATGGCGACAACTTAAGCTTCGACAGCTGTTTTGGCTTGTAAGGCTGGACCAACAACTGCACAGCTAAGCATTCACTTCAAGCCGTAAAATTTCTTTTTTCGCTCTTGAAGCAGGTTTTCATTAGCCTTCCCCTTATCGTAGATATCCTCGTTACTATCAGTGAACGCGAAAGAGGGCAGCTTTGAGCAAGTGGCCAAGAAGCTCGCTCGTCGCTTTGTTACCCGAGAACGACGGATCAAGTCCTACCGGCAGGAGATCAACGACCTCTGCTCTGGTCGGATTAGCCCCTCTCCCGGGATGAGCGTTTCCCTAAGTCAGGTATGCTTCCTCTCCTTCCCTCCTCTAAAATAGTGAATTTTCTAGATAAAATTAAGATATCATGGAATAATACTTAGCTAATCTTTTTTGCTGGCTACTATGAAGCAATAGCTCCAAATTAGTCCTGGTTATTTATAAGTTCGGGAGATTTCCCTTTTTGATGTTGTATTTGTTTTTCTACTTTTGAAATGCATTTCTGGGTAGTAGGTTGAAATACTGGAACTCTCTATTTGTATTTTACATGATTATATCAAAAGTCACCTGAGTAAGTTTCAGGAATTTTAGCTCAAGTCAATATTGTCTTGGTTTCATTTTTTTCGCAGCTTAAAAGGCCTTAGACTGCTAGAGTTCTGTGTTGAATGAAATTTTCTGCCCCTTTTTTCGGGTCCTGAGGGACTTTTTTGCAAAACAACTTCATCAACTTTGGCTGGATTGCTCTCCTTGAATTGATTTTGATGTCTACGATTAATCGTGCCATCACTGGTTTTACCAGCTGCCGGATCTCGATATCTTACTTTGGGAAAATAAATCCCCACTAGTATTAATTGCGTACGTTAGACGTCTCGTTAGTTTGGCTGCATTGCCGCCACCACCATATCAGCCTACGGCCTGTGCTTTTTTCACTGATAGGGTAATCTTTATGTAGTCTAGGCCTCTCTCTCTCTCATTCCTTTGAAGCAGGTACCATCGCCGCCGCGAAAGTTCCCTCTCAAGGTTAGTTGTCACCACCTCGCTGCTTGCACTTTTGTGCACTCCGTTTTTTTACCGCTTTTGTTTTTTGCACTTCACTGTTGCGGCACTCAGACTTCAAGGACTTTTTGAGACAAAGCACCTTTGATAAGGCACTTGTTGTCATGGTACATACAAGGGAAGCATCACAATTTGAGGCACTGTTCAATGCACCGGATCGTTCGTGGTTTTTTTTTCACTACCTATTGAAGTAGATTGACACTTAAGCAGGTATCATAACAATTCACATTCATGCTTCCACCAACTGCCATTATTGTCTCCTTTGCTCTTATCCTCGTAACTACTTGTGATTTTCTTGATTTTTCCGGATCTTCTAGGACTGTGATACCAGCGAGGACAGCGGTGCCCTGAATCAGGAATACGTCGAGAATAAAGTTGAAGAATTGGAATTCGCGATTCGACGTGAAGAAGTAAGAAAAAGTTATTCAATTTGCACTCCTCATATTCGTCCATCTTGCAAATTAAGCTGGCATCTGTCTAAATAACTTTCTAAATTTCGAATTGTTGCTGGGGGAAAAAATTAACAACATTTTGCTGCTATTCTTTGGTGCTTACTGTTGGATCACTAAATAAAATTTCCACTTAGCTTTTGCGTTATGCGCAGGTTGAAAATATTACACATTTGTCTGGTGAGTTGGTTTAAAACTCGGGAAGGAAATTTTGATTTTATCGTTAAGTAGGTTGATCGCATTGCGCTTGAAACCGGTGCCATCCTTGCGCCTGCAAAATGGAGCATAATTTCTCCTTCACTTTGAAGTTTACTGTAACCAGGCTTCCTCGGTGCATGGTATCGACTTTAGGTAATGCACATCTCAAACTTTGCATGATGTAATAATGACTAAAGTTTACTTTGATTGTACCACAGGTTCGCACATTGAAGTTCCCACAAGCTATAGCACAATGTGATATTTCAGGTACTGTGCTTAAGTAGCTTCTCATTGCGTCGCTAGAATCTCCACTGAGGGGGCATATTGGCACTACTTATTCCCTGGGGTTTTGACTGGACTATCTTGGTGGTAAAAATACCGTTTATAGGCATTATGCTTGACTGCGTTGGTTCCGTCAATTCAGGCTCTCTTTTAGCCGTACGCGAAAGCAGTTGCTACGGCTCACACGTTTGTTACACTTCGTATTTTACTATATTTAATAATGGGAAATAACAGAAAACCAGTTCCCGATCTTTTTCATCTGGCTTTCGGTGCGTTTCATTTGAAGCTGAAAGGTATATTCGAACCAAAATTGCTGGTTAGAATTCAAGAACGATTTTTCAGCCACTATTTGACATTTTTAGAAGCTGAATTTTATCTTCGAGGTACTTTATCTTCATATCTTCCCAAAGCACGGAAACATTTTTCGAATAAAATTTAGTAGATCATAGCAGCAGTCAATTTGCTCTCACTCCAGTATGATTAATGGTTCTGAGCAGAGCGTCAAAGCGCTTTTTTAGTCGTATCAAAGTCAGTTTTTATTATCGGCAAGCCTGTAAATTGCATATTTTAGTGTCATATTTTGGCCCCGCCTCGATGAAGTGTCGGTTCATCTATATGATGCGATATTTGCTATTGTCCACCGTTTGGGCAACGCTTTTGTCCCTTTAATCGTATGCCTTGAAGTTATTCCAGCCGTCGGTTCTCTTGAAATTTTCAATGACGCGATTTGGTATAAATCGTGACTATTGTTGTCCGGCCGAGATTTGAGGTGCACTTGAAGCTTTTGCGAATTTTTCACTTGTCACTGCTAGCTAGAAGGAGAACCTTTTAGGTTAGAGTAAGTGGTCATGATTTCAGCTTTTTTGCAAATTTGTGCTCTGTTTTCTTTATTACAGATCGAGAAAACGAAAATCAGTGCATGTTTGGAGTTGTTGAAGAAGACACACGGTTAGTTGCCCTCCCCTAAATTAACTTTGACTGTCTATAAGTCGGACATTCATCGGTGCTAGCCGCACACAGGCGTTAGCGATTCTTTAGGCTTAATTACTTGTGCTATCTCGATCCGCCTTGGTTCTGTCAGTCAAATTAAGTTCAATTTCGTAAGGTAAACCTATTTGCTTCGACTTTTCCATGCATGGCATTCTAGCTATCACCATATTCATTTTAAGTGGCATTCGTTTTAAGGTGAAGTACTGAGATGTGCCGTAACTCCAGACTTAGAAAATGCTAGTTTTTTTAAATTTTTTCATACTTTAACATCGTCGGTTTGAATTCCATTGCGAATATCTTGGCTTTTTCTCATGAACCTATAGAATTTCGTTTAAACCTTTATAGAAGGATAGCACACTGCAAAATGTGTAGTGGAATCTTGATTTTCCATTATGCTAAAGCTGCATGATGAAGACATGCATAGTTCGCACTGGAAAAGATAGACATATTTTTCTATGTAACCTTCAAGTAAGTAGCTTTGATATTCAAATTGAGTCTTTTTCGTCACGCGCAAAAGGTGGTGACATTGAATTAACTATCTCTGGCTTCCTAATACCGTACCTAGGTGAAGCTTTTTTGAGCACAAAAATACGTCTGTTTTTTTTCCGGTATTTGAACGCGCCCATTTGATCATGCGTATTTTGTTTTCGAGAGATGTTTGTGTGTGTATTTGAATTAGCGAAGCTAACTTCATTTCTTCCGCTTTTCCACAATTTCAATCTGCACCTTATGTTACATTTGCTCAATTCTGCGTTGGTAGTTTTAATATACATATAAACGAATTACAGGACTACAAAACCACTAAATTTGACTCTATTCCTATAGGTTTATGTTCTCTCTTTCCCTTTCACCACCCTTTTTACATTATCCTCTTCATTTCTCCAGAATAGCGAACTTGGGACTGCTAATCACAAAGGTTAATTTACATTAGCGTACTAATACAGTGCTGGTGTGACATTGCTCGAGAAATTTCAAAAAGCAATTGACCACTACTTTGTCAAAAAGTAGGTCGTATTCAAAACAAATCATGGATTGTCTGGCAGCGAATAAAATTTTGACTTTTGGTATCATGGTAACGGATGAGGTCGTAGGATCTGTTCCTAATTAACGGTGAAAGCCACACAACGACCCTCAAAAATGCGTTGCGTTTGTATGTAATATTTCCATTAACTATTGATGACAACGGCAAGTTTTTATTAGCAGTTCACCTCTGCACAATACCTAAATATGACCACCACCATCGGTGAAATCATTTTAAGTCTATCAAAGAGTACTGATGGAATTATACGTCTTCACGTGCTTTCCTTTCGTCAGTGGACGTGCAAGCAGCCCTATACGAGGCGAATCTGGCAGCGACGGAGGTGAGAACCGGAACGGTAGGTAGAGGAATGGAAGTGGCAGAGAAGGCTCAGCACGGTGCGAGTTCGAGTTCCACCGCAGCCACGGGAAGCAGCTCAACGGAGGGCAGCACCGTGGGTCTTACGGGATTGCTGACTGATTCAACTAAGCACAGAAACTCCTTCCTTCTGGAGAATGCCTTTGCACCTCTAAATTCCTCTATCCCACGTTCTCGCACGGTAAGTAGCATGTTTTTACTGGTGTCACAGTTACGCATTTATCTGATGGTGTACCTATAAATTGCGTGTCTTTTTCCATTTCACCGATTCCACATCACTTGTTCTGTGCTGCAGTTGTCTCTTCACGAAAGCAACTGACAGTGGTAACTAACCTTGACAGTTGGGTTTTATTCTATGCTAACCTGCCCGAATCTCAGAGGTTAAGATACATGTTTTTACATTGTTTGAATGCATGTATTTTAACCCTTGTTGGCTGATTTAATAAATGCAGTTTGTTTTTTGTGGTCATGAATGCTAAAATGGCGTGAATATTTACGGAACTCGTCACCACCAAAGAGACATTAGCGATTTTAAGAGCCATATTAACGCTGAGTGGTTCTATTATTAATGGAGGATACCTCTTAGTGTCCTAGTTGATGAAATCAAAATAGGTTACTTTTTGCATTTGTTTGGATGGGTTTTTTCGATACATTTGGGACGATCTGTCCTTATTTGACTATTGCGCGTTAGCTATTTAAATTATTTTCCGTGAGGAAGTTTGGAGGGTGTAACTGCAATCAAAACATAGGTAGATTTACTCATTAGGCAGGCGTCAGAAATGCTTAAATATCAGTGATCACTCTGACGCCACAGTGCGAAGTAGCGTGGAGAAGGGCTTTGAAAACCCCTTCAAGTGTTCCGCTGTGAGTTGTCATTCTCCGATCCCCTAGTCAGCGTTGCTGGAAGCGCTTTAGTTTATATTGCATCAAATAACGGTTGCGAGTCATCCGCTCCCTTGCAATCACTCGTAGTCAAGGCTGTTGCGTACATGTGAATGAGGGATTCGTTAGTCTTTTTATAATGGCAAATCTACTTGGTCTAGTCCTCCCTTTGATTGGGCGTACCTAGTAAATTTCTGCATAATTTGGAACAAAGGACCATTTCTAGATTTTGCTTCAGGTGCTTTGGGATTCCATTCATAAGTACAAATTCTCTTTCTAATTTAACTTATTGAATATTGAGCAAAATATTGCTATTTTTCGTCTTCTCGGGGGTCTGTAACTGTTTGCTTACTTATTTCGAAAGACTGGTTGATAAATGAATTGGGCTCAAGCTTGTCAATTTTAGGCCACAAAGTACAAGTGATTCATTTACTCTGCTTTTCAGCAAAACGGTGGTATATCTCGGACCTCAGCTCAACAGCTTGCCAATGAAGCCTGGGCTCGAGGTAAGAGTGAATAATTTTGACTTGCCTTGGATCCGGTAGCCCCTCAAATACTATCTACCAAAATGTTTTTGCTTCCCCAGGTGTCCATTTTAGTTTATCCTCCTATTACAGCCAAAAATTGTTTCAAAACATGTCCTGGGTGGTTCTCAACCTTTATTCCTTTATACACATCACCCTCTAACCCCTTGTTACATTTGGATACAAATCTCTTTATGAAATCAATTTATGTTTACGTGGTTGGGCATGGAGCGTTATGATTTACCACGACTTGTCGCTCCGCTCCGGCGGGGCCGCCTTTGAAGTTTCGCTTCACTTAATTTTCTCACACGGTCCCAATGTTGCAGATCCCTATCCTTAATCCCATCCTGTTGAAGAGCTTGCCCTTAAAAATGTCAGCACAATGACTTTTATTTTTTAAACTTATTTCACATTTACCATTCATTAGCATTTGATCTTACGATAAGTTTTCCTTAGGTTGGGAAAGTTCACGCACTATTTCGTCATCAAAGAAGACAAAAAAAACGCAATGATACCGCAACAGCTTTTTTTCGACAGATATCATGAAAGAAAAGTTCTATCTCCACTTATCCAAGTTTGTCAAATGGTAATGGGGATGTTTGCAATCTCGTCAACTTAGACCTCAGTTGATGTTTTAACCACTAGTTTATTGCATGTCACTCGATTTTATCGTTTTCGTGCTTGAAGAGGAAGTATTCGTGTCGTCAAATGTTCTTCATGCTATTCTTGGTTGTTTGAAGCTTACTCTTTTCCCAGGCGATTTACCGACTCGGCAGTAGGGAAGGTTTTTGCAAATTACTGATACATGTACATATACACTTGTTTATTATTTACGGCATAATAAACACCAAAGTGAGCCTCAGAGCATTCCGGGAAGTTTACACCTTTCAATGGCATAAAAAATAATACCTACACTCCCTCCATGGACATTGTTACAAACCAAGGCGATATCATACCTCTTTCTAAATCATCACTTGTTCGGTTATGCATTTCGTCACGAATTACATCTAACTAGGCTTTTCTGCGTCTGAATGCATTTACTTTTTCGCTTTCACCCATTTTTCATAATTCCATGGCAAGGTTCGCAGATCATTGATATTCTATTTTTCCTCGGGTTTTAACCCTTCTTTAGTGGATTAAATTTATTGGGGATGAGGTATTGTAGTCAACCGCCAAATGCTCTATTCATAGATTTATTTAATTTGTGATTAGATTTTTAATTGCGCATGTTAACTAAGCCACTTTAACGTTAGCGAACGCCACCTCCCCTGGGGCGAACGATGAGCCCTCCTTCATTCAATTGGACGACGAAGATCCCCCGAGTCAGCAGCAGCCGTCTAGAAGGGAGCCTTCACCTGAAGTCGACTGGACAGGTGGTGGTCAGTTGCCCAAGGCGACGGCGATGTATGAGTTCCTCGCGGCGCGCAGTGACGAAATCAACATGGTCTGCAATGAACGAGTCGTACTCCTAGGAGCAGGAGACGGCGAGGATTGGGTGAAGGCGAGTTCCATTTAGATCATACGCATAACATTGGATCCCATTTTTATCAAAATTTGGGCCAATGCCAATGTTTCTACTGTCAAATTTGGACATTTATTTGCTCATTGCGCCATTCTTTTGCTCTTTTGGGCTTTTAATTGGTCTGAAGTCCTTAAACCACGAATGCTATCATTCATTCAACTCACAAACGCTACCGCAACATTACTACCATAAAAGCGCTAATGTTGCTCTTAATTTTGATAAATGATAACATCTAGTGGGTTATTTGGAGTCACACCGATTTCGAGTTTAAGTGCATAAGCGTGACTATGTGAATGTTTCCTGCTCCATCAAAAACAGTTGTAAACAAACCACAATCCTTGTTTATTCAAATGCCTATCAAATTGATGGCTATGCCACTGAGGTGCTAAGGTATGGATTTTGCACTGCACGCTCCGTGCACTCGGCTAATACGCCTTGTAGGTACGCAGCCTTTTGGATGGGAAGGCGGGTCTGGTGCCACGGGCTTTTTTATCAATCGACCCGACGCCCCCACCGGCTCCACCTCACCCCGCCGTGCCTGCGCTGGCGGTGAAAAGTGACACCGAGCAGGAGCCCTCTGATAAGACCCCTCTTTCACCTACCTCTCCTCCCTCCGAGCCTGTCGCACCGCCTCGTAAGTTTAATTTCCTTTCAGAGCTCGATTTTCGGTCCGGTTGTGTGAATTAATCTACTTCTACTTGCTTTTCTTAGTGCGTTTCAATAGTGTAGGAATTAGGATCATATCATGAATTTAAAATTACTGACATACCCAAGGCATTATTCTTCTTGATACACTAGTCAATGCTTTGTTATTCCCACTTAAAATGCTTTCTTTCATGTGGAAGGCCCCAGATGCAGATAACTTTTCTGCAAAATTTTATTTTCCATCGAAATCAGTAAACTTTCGTATTACTATTTGACCTTTAGTCAAAGAGGAGCTAGGATTTAGTAAACTCCTTTAGATTTACTCTTATATTCAATGATGTCTTTGATTTCTACTGCACTTTCCCTTCGTTGTCAAAAGTTACATTGCGCATATCAGTCCGAGGTTGAAAAAAGCGGCGTAAAGAGACTAAGTTAAAATAGAAAAAAGTCTGGCTTCGCGCTGTAAAAGCGAAAATAATTGTTGGGGTATTAGTGGCATTATTAGCGTTACGTGTATCAGAGTGCATTAGACTCAGAGGCATAGCAGATGGTGGTTGTGGTGTGAATATTAGTACTACTAACAAATATGCTAACCGGCGTGGTTGCGTCCATCGCAGATCCACCGATGGAGCAATGCTTGGCAGGCCAGTTTGTCCGCGCACTGATTGACTTTGCTGGCACGGCGGAGGACGAGTTGAGCTTTGGGGTGGGCGCGGTCATCCACGTGCTGGGCCGACCGGCGGTGGGCGAGGTGGACGACGGATGGATCGAGGGGGAATTAGTGCCCCTCACTGATGCCGAAACCACCACTCCTCCCGCTTGTGGCGTTTTCCCCTCCATGCTGGTCGAAGCTGTGACTCCTGATGATATCTGGCAGCGCCGACTCAGTGCCTGTCGGCCTCGTAATTCTGTCATCTGCTCTTTACTCGTTTACTTAACTATCCCATCACTTGCCTACCCATTGAACTACTCATTAGCCTGACCTTCTTGTGATAAGCCACATGAAACATTTGTTACCGGGACATTTGTGTATTTTTCCTCAATTGATTCTTTATGTTCGTAAATCGAGCTCCCTTACTTAAAATATATTAAATCTTGGTCACATGTCTATGGCACCTGTGGTGCTCTCGTTGATTGAAACGACCCATTAGTATATATATATATTTCCTGGTTTAATTTCTTCCGGAACCAAATCGTTTGCTCAAGCCTATAGTGGCATAAATTAGGTACAAGCGTACTTCGAATTGCTGGAGGTCAAAACTCCATTACTGGATCTTAATAGTCCCTTTTCTGTAGTATATGCATTCTTCTTTCGTCTCAGGACCCGCGAAGGCCTTGTTATCGACCGGTTCCACAGCAGATGCCAAGGTATCCCCAAGCGGTGAGCGAAGATGCAAACCCTTGTCCTCGTCTGGTTCTGTTCCTTCCCCTCGATTGAGTGAGCCCTTGCTGATGCCATTTGGTTTTTGTAACCGTAGCGAGAAGTCGAGCTATATATGTGTGCACACTACCTTCTTGTTGTAGGTAATTCGGCGAGTCGAAGCAAATCCCGTTCCGCGTCGGCTAAGAGAAGTTGGGGTGGCGGTGCCAGTGGTGGACCGAGACGCTCCACTGTGAGCCACAACACCTCCTCCAGTCACCGTTCCTCGCACCACCAGCAACAGCAGCAGCAGCAACATCATGGGCAGCAAGGGCGAGAAACGTCTACGGGTCATGGGCGTGTTTCGCGCAGCCTCGTGGCTGCTAAAGTGACTCCGTCCCAGGCCTCCCCTCCATCTGCTGAGGCCCATCCTCCAGCCTCGACCCATCAACAACAAGAACCCTCACCTTTCATACCAAATGAAGAAGGCAGGATCAGTCCCAACCAAACCTATGGCAATGAGGAGGTGCGCTGCTTCCCTACGGTATCTTAGGTTGAAGCATTTGTGGTCTTGTCACTTTTCAGTGGAATAACATCACTTTTGCGATGGTAACGAATTAATTTATACGGATTTTCCGATCTAGCAAATGATATTTGTAACCAAAGGCTCCATTTCGCGCTGAGTTCCTTTAAGTACTGCCTCCTTAATAGGTTCTGCGGCCCCATATATGTCGCCAGATTTCCTCATTCTTGGGTAAACAAGCTCCACGAATCTTACTTCATATCAAACGTTCTAAACAGCCTTTTCTAGTTGCTTTTTTTAATGCACACCGAAGTATTGTCCGGAAAACCAGCAGTTACTCGTTTTAGTGATGAATTATCTTCTAGATATCATGACCACTATTTAAATGTGGTTGTACAAATAGCATTGTAAACAAAATACCGACAAAGAGATAATTTACTAGAGAGATAGCTGTGAGTAATAAAATCAAGGAACTTGTTTAACAACAAAGTACGTATGCTCATCCAAAACTACTGCAAGGCGATGGAGACCTCTTCTTCTTCATATTCAGCCTCCTCTTTTTTCACCTTTAGCTTCAAATTGCTGAACTGTGATCCAGGTCTCTTGATCGCCTCTGCGCACTCCCCGATTTCATGAAATGCCAGCCATGGCTGATTGCTACCACTTTTTTTGCATGCTTTTAGTCAGCTTCTTTACTTCCTCCTTATGTTGAACTGTGTACAGTAAAATCCTTTTTTTTTCTTCATTTTCAACATTCATATGTGAGAGTGCCCATGCTCATATACGGACTTCGCCTTTTGGTACGCGGGCCTATGAATGGGGGGTCTCTTTAGATTCATTACAGCAATGCAATAATATTTGTGGTGTTAATTGCGTTTTACGGGTTTCCCGGATTTTCTTCATTTATTCTACTCGTCGTGAGCTAATGTAAACACCACATGTGTATCATCTCTTAGATTCAATATGTTTGTCTGCAGATTGTTTTTATTGAAGTTAACACTGTGCACCAGGACATTCAACGTGTTTTTCACAAGGTGAAAAATAAACGCTGTTTAACTACTTAGGTACCTTGGTGATTGTCCTTGAGATGCTCTTAGTGTATTTTAAGTGATGATGGGGGGTTTTGAAGTCGACCCCAGTGTAGGATGTAGTTGGTGGAAAACGGATCTAGTATCTTGATTACAAAGTAATTGGGATGTCCGCTGCACACACTCCCACGCTTAACGCGATAAGCACCAGTACCGGGGACGGTGCGCATGGACAAGATGGCAATCTGATGGTAAATTGGTGATTAAAGGGACTTGCTTTACGAAATCGTGCAGGACGGTCCACTGCTTCAGTCGTGCTTCAGATGTGGTTATCGTCACCCTCTCAAGAAGTGCGGTTACGACATCATGCAATTTGAAATGGGCTTTTTTCCCTGAATCAGAGCTTATGTCAATTTACACATCAGAAATGAAGGAATATCCAAATGTACGTTTGAGGAAGGGTTTGTGCCTTATAAACTTTAAATAAGGCAATTTTAATCGAAATAGAACAACAGTTTGTTCTATTTCTAATGGTGACCATTCGTGTAGGAGCGTGCTAGACTACGGGAGAAGATGGATATGGAGCTAGCGAGGTTAAAAGATGGGCCGTCAGGTCTTGCTAGAACAAGGCATCATAACCTGTATGGTGACGAAACCTAATACAAAAGTAGTATTTCCATAAGACCGCCAAGTGGTGCGTCAGTTGCCTTTGAGTTGCTAAAAATCCCAAAGGAGGTTCCACCCCTAATTGGCAGGAGTCATGTGAGGCACTCAATCCGGCAGGCTTAAGCCAGGACACAATTAGATGGAGGGGGATGAGATTCAGGTGGGAGGTGTTTTTACGCCAAAAAGCACCCCTAGAATCGAAGGCTACTCATTCACATATCTGATTATAAATCGTGAAAACTTTAGGGTACGTATCGACTTAGCTGGTTTAACTTTAGAGTCCCAAATATTTTCTGAATTCGTAATAAAACAGTGCCGTAGAGCATAAATGACTAACGCAAGGAACACCCAGGGAGCTATTAGCACGCTCCTCGGGGTATGCCGAGGAATGAAAGCGCAATCTGTGGAGAATAAAGTGCTTGCGTAGTTAAGCAAGCCACCAAATCACTACACAGTCATTCTTCTTTTGGACATCGTTCCCTGCGCATCTCCTCATAGTTCTTCGAAAGCCATCACAGAGTAGTCAATGGTCCAAAAACGGTCTCAGAGGCGGAAACCCCAACCAGTGAATTCTTGAGTATGTAAGAAGGCATTTGACCCCAACGTCACCGGTGCAGCTTAACAAATCCACTACCTACATTGTGTCATCCTATTTGTGAAATGAATTGTGTTGGGGCTTTGTACTCGTCAGGGTCTCGTGTTATTCGCTAATCATGGGGAATTTGGTCCAACAGTAGAGCCGTCCATTAAAAGACGAGATTTGAGATAGCTTCATGGAGCTGATGTTCCGCATCTACTCCTTCTTGCCAGTTTGTTTTCATTATATTGCTGCTGGTCGATCTATCTAGGTTCCATTCAACCAGCTGAGAAGTGAATGAGGTACCGTTTTTTAACTTCACTAGTATCACCACATAGTCACCACGAGCAGATCCATAATGAACCTTTTTATGTGGTTTGAGCCTGGTAATGCCTCGGTTGTTACCGGCTTTCTTGAAGAGCACAGAGTTGGGCTACTTATTAAAGGTGGACGTCATTCCTACTTCCTCGATTTGCAGCATTAAAGTCTGGTATTCAGGATTGGGCTATCGAGAAGCTGCCACTAATGTAGCACCCCAAATTTTGGGGGAAGTCGTTATAAGCCGAAACGCTATGAAGAGACGTGTTGTCAACGTACAAGAGAGCCGGAACTTGTTTGTGTGGTCCGAGTCCCACGCCAGAGAGCAAAACATGACCCGATTCGACTCAAAGTCCAGCTTGACTGAGAAAAAATGGGGCGAACTATCAGGTCGATAGAATAATTGGAATGATTTAAAGTGGGTATTCCATATTCTAAAAAGGAAGTACAGTTTGCTGTTCCTAAACTTTTGATCAGTGCTAATCGCAAGCATTACTGGGTTGAATATTTAATTAGCACCACTGCAATGACCTACCAAATATTTTGTCACAATAAATAGATGCCGCAGATAAAATAAGCTTCAAACCACCATAATATTTTAAAAAGGCCAAGACAAAAATCACCTTAGAAGAATTTGAGCTGTTTGGCCACATAGACTTTATAACGATGGATTTTGTCTCTTGCTATCTTGGAGTCAGATAGAATTTTTTGCTGTATATATCGGCCTTTAAAATTAATTGTTCCGAGAAGGAATAACTTGTATCAGTGAATAAGCCCTATTTTGATTCGTTGGATATTAAACCAATAAACGCCAAGATTTCCTGCTGGACTGTCTCCCACTAGTGACGCGGTTTAGTAGCAGTGACTTGTTGGTATAAAATGGCTTTCTCGCCGTCTATGGAAGGCAAGAAAATCGCTGATATCTTCCCTTTTGGGACATTGTGCAAATTTCTGGAACAAGTTTCATCAGTAGACGGTGCAAAAAAGAAAAAGGACTATATCTTCTTGTTCATTCAAAAGTGGGCAGCTAAATATAAAAGACTTGTTGGGGATACTGGCCCGACTGCAGGAAATTTGGGCAGCTTCTTTCCGGTTTTACGTCTTCTTATCCCATCTGCTGACCGCACTAGGCCAGCGTATGGTGTTGGAGAATCAACCATGGCCAGGATGCTCATCAAGGCCTTTGGTTTGGCTCCAAAAGGGCCTGATGCTACCAGATTACTAAAGAAATGCAAAACATTGTTATCCAAAAGTGCCACTGAGGAGGACCTGGCGGACATCGTTCACTATGTATTACGGGATCATTGTGCGACCGAGAGCTCTTACTCAATAACTGTACCAGTTGCCCTTTACTTATTTTTTTTCCATAGAAAATTCATGACACGTTAGATGCGCTGGCGTCCTCACCTTCTCAAGATCAAAAGCTCGAAATAATCTGTCATTTCACTCGTAATATAACTGTTCTGGAATTGAAGTGGTTCGTGCGTATCGTTAGTCGGCGCGATCTGTCGTTAGGTATCAGAGATAAAGCTTTGCTCAGTTGTCTTCATCCTGCTGCTCCCTCCATTTGGAACGTTACACAGGTAATCTGTCATTTTCATAACCGCGTATATTAAGTCTTCTAGGACTTGTGCGCTGTCTGTCAACGAATCGCTTACATTGACCCAAAGTTGGCTCTGTCCACTGATGTTTACCGCAAATTTAAATCTGTTGAACTGTTTACTGCCTTTAAACCCATGCTTTGCTCTCGAGCCAGTAGTGTCGACGAAATCTGTACAGCCTATCAGCAGGAATTCTCGGGGTCTGTTGACACTGGTCTTTGCCTCGAAGTTAAGTATGATGGCGAAAGAGTTCAGGTAACCAGTCTTTGAATCTCCCATTTCTCGTAGTTGCATAAGTCAAATACAAACTACCGCTTTTGGTCTCGTACTGGTCGCGAATGGAGCTCGAGTTATGGTGAGTGCGGCGATTCTGCGAAGGGGAGCCTCACATATCGTTTACATGCAAACGGCACCACTTTTGCCAATGACGTCATCGACTGCATTCTTGATGGAGAGATGCTCGCTTTTGATAGACTTACCAACCGGTTTGTCACAAAGGCCACGGGCTATGATGTTAAACGTGCAGGGCTTGATGATCAGTCTGATAACAATAAGGATGTCATGCCGTGCTTCATCGTCTTCGACGTACTCTATTTAAACGGACAGGTAAGGACAAGTAGTTTTTTTTCTTCATTTTAATATGAAATTCCTCCAGAATGGGTGGGGGGGGGGGGTTTGCGATCTAGTCTCTGGATGGGCTTTTGTAGTTTGTTTTTAATTATCAGATAGCGAGTATTCTGCCATCCAGTGTCTGCAATGCTAACGTTTGGGAGTTCTTGGCTTACTTTTAGAGAAAGAACTCTCTGTACTTTATTTTCCTCATTTGTGCCACTATACGAAATATTTAAATAGAGGACCCAGTTTCTTATTACTCACAGTCCTCCTTGACTGTCAACATTATAGTGCTTGTTCATGCTTCAATGTCAAAAAATCCTGAATATTTGTTTTATTCCCACCTCAACTTCATTTCAGCTTCTCACGGAGATGCCTCTCTCCCGGCGCAAGCGTATTCTTCTAACAATGTTCTCATCATTTAAGTCAACGTGTGAAGAGGTTTCGTCAGAAGTTGAAACCTGTTTTAAGTCCACCAATAATCACAGTGACGATGACAATTTGGAAGATTATCAAATTCAGCAGGATCGACTTCTTTCACTTTTTGCGATTGAGAAGGGAGCCTTGTATTTAGGCGGTTTCTTGTTTACGCAACCGGATAAGGTGAGTTTATTTCTATATTTCATTTGAACAACTATTCAGCCGTTTCCTGTTCAGTCATGCTAGTTAGATATTCTTTTTCTGATGGTTCGAATGATTTCATATCAGCAAAGTAACTTTTTTGCCATTGAAAAGGAAATTAGTTCTTGTGCCTTTGAATTAATCAAGTCACGTTTGTGTAGTAGCAGTCTTCTGGTGTCTCGTTCAAAAAGTGATGTGAGAATGCACGCGCCTTTAGTCTAGATTTCAAAAAAAATTATTTAATCTACTGTGACGCCCAAGTTGTCTATGAGGACGTCATGAGACGTGATTATTGAAGGTCTACTTTGAATAGCAGCAATGAAATTGATTTTTCAAGTACTGGAGGCTGGATGACGTTATACACCACGGGCAATAGCTGCTTTGTATGTATCATATCATCTTGGCTTAGTTTATAATCATCAGATGAGGCGGTGCTTTGGGTGCGTTCTCATGGCAGACTCGGCTAGCATGCTGCTTCGACACGTGGGTGCAGCATGGTGCGGAGGGGCTGGTGGCGAAGGCGCTCTGCGCTCCCTACACCCCCGACGGACGGGCAGGGGCGGGCTGGTGGAAGCTGAAACCGGACTACGTGCTTGGTCTTTGCACTGACCTCGACTGCCTCCTTGTCGGTGCCTACGCTGGTACCTCTGCCGCCACCTGCACGACAATGTTCTCCACATTCCTCTGTGCCATCGTTAACGACGACGATGGTGATGAGATTGAAAATAAGCGACGGCGACTGCAATCAGATCACTCATCCCCACCCTCCTTCTTGACATTTTGCCAGGTAGTCATATTTTCTCCCTTAATGGTCGGATAGTGGGTGTTTTCAGTCAAGTCATAGTTTTTAAATGATTGACAAAATTAGCCATGATCAAACTGTTTAAAATTTTGCGGTGTAAAAACCGAAGCGTTTATAAACAGATACGTTGTTGACGTTAATGTAAGTTTCGGAAAATCATTTGCGACTAAACGTTTACTTGGTACTTTCAAGCTTGTAGATATTCTTTGGCATGGTCCGGTGTGCATAGCAGTTAAAAGAACTATGGGGTTGTCTTTTTTTCTTTTCAATCAACAATCTACTCCTTTTCCTCTCAAAATGTTGCGCCTTTTGGTGACAGCTCTTAGTGTAGTTGCATTTATTACCAAAAACTTAAATGAAACAATTTACTCTCTCGCAAAAATGCATGATATGTTCGTGTAAATCGTGAAGGTGTCATGCGGATTGAAGCGCGATCAACTGGAGAGCCTCAATCGCCGCCTAGTGTCTCATTGGAGGCAGTACGGCAGACGCAAAATAAACTGTAACGAGACCGAGTGGCTTCGGGTGTCGGGGGAGCGACCCGACTTCTGGATTCCACCGCGCCATTCCCTTGTTCTTCAAGTAAGATGTTTGCTTTTCATTAATTAGTGGGAAAAATAGCGGCATTGTGAGGACTATACAAGACTTAATGCTCATTATGCTTTTTATCGTAAACTTCTCTATATTTATGGACCATATGTTCGGCGGATTGATCTGTCTAATTAATATGTATAGACTTTTATTTGGTCCTCCTACCACAAATTTTGACTGCTCGCTGATCTTTTGACTCCTGAAATCTTAGAGTGATTTGCGTTCAAATGAAACTACGCTCACCTATCGACTGTTCTGCTTCTTTTCGCACAGTAAAAAGACCATCGTCTCTGACTCTGTAGATTCATGCCGCAGAAATGATACCGAGCGCCTCATATTCGGCGGGTTTTACTCTTCGATTTCCCAGAGTCGTAGCTGTCCGAGAGGATAAGACGTGGAAAGATGTCGCCTCAATATCGGAAATCAAGAAGCTTTATCAGGACACGAAGGTATGTCCGTTACCTCGATTTGCCTCATGCTGAAGTACTCAAAGAATTTTGTAGCTGCATGATTTACGAAGCACATTGTCTCCGTCAGTCAATTTGGTTGGTAAATTAGACTGATTCTTTGTTTTCGGTGTTTGTCTAAATATTCTCTAATTTTAAAAAAATGCTATTAAATATAGGTTAAATTGTAAGCAATCATCAAGTGACTACTCACTATCGTCCTAATGCTTTATTTACTTTTTCGTAGGGTAAAATGGTTAAAGGGAAGACAATCCAGTCTTCAGATGAGGACAATAAAAGTGATACTGATAGCGACAAAGACAAAAAACCCATTTCACGCATCACTTCAGAGACTGCATCGACAAGTGGGTTTTCTACAAGGCGTGTCCAAACATCCTCAAAGCCTTCGACCTCGGTTCTGACCCAATACTACCAATCATTAACGGATTCAGTGAGTACCCCATTTGTAAATTATTATTAATAAGAAATTATTTGTAATCCCATACATGACTAGGTAATTATGGTTGTTCGCAAAGAACTTATTTTAATATTTGACTGACTACCTGACTGGACTGGCTGCTAGCGCTCTATAGGGGGCTTGTTATATATTAGCCCCTTAAGCTGCTGTTATAAGAGTAGCTGTTGAGCGTTAATGTCATGCTCACAATGATAATATTTTCAGATTGAAATCGAGTCCTCTGCCTTCGCTGACGTGGAATTCTGTCTTTATATTTCATCCCATTTTTTCGGCCCATCTACTGACTTTGGGTCAAAGGGTGACTTGGAAAAGGCGATTCTTAAAAGGAGTGGGAAAGTGGTTCAAAACCCTGGATCAGATACAACCTATATTGTAACGGATCGAATCACCGCCAAGGTTAGCCACGCTTATTCCACGATTGTGCCGGAACAATCGTTATTTCCTGCATCCATTTTCAGATTTCCAATTTGATTGAAGCCACGCGTAAGAGCACGGGTAGGGGTAAGGAAGGTGGCTATGACATTGTATCCACCGAATGGTTGATTCAGTGCATTCAGGCGAATCGACTACTACCGCTACGCCAGGACCAGGTGTTCGCATCACGTCCGTCAACAATGCTTCAACTTGATGGGTCCCGTGAGGGCATAAACAGCGATTTTGCAGATTTGGGTCCTTCTGGTCTTTCCAGCGACGACTGTGTCTACTCCATTTCGCCGTCTCGTCTAGGAGTGGAACTATTCACGCAAATGGTAAAGGCCCTGAGCAACTCTATTACAAGGCATCGCAACTGGAATTAAATTACAGAACTCATTCTGTTAACTTTTCTACTATTGTTAACATAATTTACTAGTATCAAACTGCACTAGATTGTCTCGCTCGCTAGCCTCTTATCGTTTCCACTTCACCAATGCAATTCAAGGTGGAGTACTAGCCTTTGTTTTGTCTTTTTCTAGCCTGTTCGTCGGCTCTCCACTAATGAATACATTAAGTTCTTCGAAGATGATAACTTTTCCGACCTGATCCTTCCTTTGTACGGCATTAGCATTGTTCTATATGGTTTGATTGACACTTCTCCTCAATTGAAGATGATGATAGCCGATCTGCGGTCTTTACAGGCCATTGTGCATGGTCCTTTGACGGATATCTCAGCCTTACTCCCTGAGCGGACGGGCACCGTCACTCATGTAGTTGCGGTACTTTTCTTTTTCTTTAGCATTAAGCTTCGTATTGGATGCTAATATCTTGTTGATACTTGCCCCTATAGATGAATGAAAGAGTTCGCAGCTCTGCGATTGAGCCTGTGTTGGAGGAAATACGGAACCAAATTGGTCAATCAGGTCTGCCGATTGCAGTTACTTTGGATTGGGCTATGGGCTGTGCTTCTCACAAGGCTTTACTTCCTGTATCGAACTATCACTTATAACCCATCACTTTTAGCTTCATTCTTCATATTTGCGTTTCATATTTAATTATTTTGATCATTCCATTATTACGAATTGAGAGCATCTTTTACGCCTCGATTCCTACCGCTCCTGGTATTTTGCAATGGGGCCAGTAATCCTCACTTTTAATAATCATATGGTGAGAAATTGATGCCGTCCGAGTTTTCAACCCAAGACGTACTTTTAATATTCTATGAATTTCAGGGATCTTGCAGCATCAGCGCTTTGAATGTTCTCTGAATTCGTAACGCGTCGAGGTTGTCCGAAAGAACATGTATTACCAACGTACAGAAAGGGGGTGGAAGTCACTAGCACGATTTAGGGGCCGCATTGCATGGGAGACCATAATCACCGAGGTGCAAAGTGCCTCTGTAGTTAAACACGCAATCGGACAAGGTGCTAAATTGCTTCGATATCTTGTAGGCTCAGCAAGGTATTTCGGGATACCTGTCTATGGTCTACCGGCAGTCTAGTGCTGTGCGTGGCTATTCAAACGGGGGTCTAGAAAATTGGATAATTTTGGAATCTGATTTAACTACCGAAGGGCAATGTGATACGAGGGTGATGACTTATTGATGCCTAGGTTAGCATTTTTATAAATGCAAAGTGGTGGGTACCCGCTTATGAGGTGTTCGTACAGCGGTCCGAACCCTCGCCTGGGGGTCACAATAAGAAAGTGGTGTGAGAGAACAAGGATAAGTAAAGCACAGAAGTCGTAACTCCACTGACAAGGACCAGAGGTCGTACTGCAATGCGTCGGTTGGATATTTAACCCTCGGTTTCGGTAAAGGGGTTACATAGGTGCTCCGCTGTTGTACCTTCGTCGAGAGGTCTTAGGACTCTACATTAGCGGCAGCGGAAAGCGAACCCTACCTTAAAGGACATCTATTCTAAATTCACCCCCGGGTGATAAACCTTGGCACGGGGGAGGCGAAAAGGCGCATATGCTGTGGATAGGAGAATGGGTGACGGTCCATTACAGAAGGGTTGAAATTGACGTCTGCCTTGGGCAACAGCCTGTCCCTTGCTCTGCAGGAATGACATTAACAGCTGAAACGGCACTAGCCGTAGGGCTTCTGGAAAAGTACCATTATGGAGCTGTTCACCGTTCTTAACACGGATAGCAGTTATGCGAACTCACGATACTTGCTTACTACTCTACCAGTTAGATAGAACTTATAAGAATACGGCTGGTAGCACTGATGTAGAATAAACGTGGCAACTAGGAATAGAAATGAAATCCTACTCCACGAAACTCTTCTTAAGCCAATTTTTTTAAAATGACGTTGCCTCTAGGCCAGTGTTCCTATGACTAGCGGTGAACACGTGTAACAGCCTGCATATTTCTCCATCCCCGAAATCAGTCCCCGTAGAGGGCAAAACTGTAGATCCAGTAGAATTGTCATGAGGGATCAGTGAAGCAGCGACCAAGTATCCTCTCAGTTGCATAGAAATTCATTCATTAGCACGGTAAACTCGAGGATGCTTTTCTTGCAGCACCGATTGCATTGTGATGGCTGACGCGGGAGATGGGTCAAGGGGCGCACTGAAGACGACGCTCAAAAGAGGAGAGGAGCTATGCATTTGCTATTCAACGGTATCACTCAGGTGAGAAGTGTTCAGTGAAAAAGAATCGTCACATTTCCTCAAGGCAGAAGAGGGCTTTGAACACAGACCTCCCCAGACCTGTACTAATTTCCGTTAACATTTCTTAGGAGACATGCCCTTGTAGAATCGATCAGTGCGTTTGAAAGGTTTGAAGTCCAGAGAGGAAGAATTAAGCGAGAAATCCGTTTTGATTAGTGAACTACTTGGGGCTCTGAGTTGAGCTTGTTGTCTTAAATTCCTACTGTATGCCGAAGACGTATGTGCTGTTCTAGTATCACTTATTAGTTCGTCCTCAGGGAAGGCTCGGGGCGATGCACAGGCTGCAGGGTCTAAATAGCTTGTGTAGTTAAGCAGAGCATCATAAAATTTTGATATAATGCGGCTGGCACATCAATCCAATTTAAGATGTTGGGAAGCCTATTAAATACCCAAGAGGAATTTCATTTTTAGGGTTACGTAAAGACGATCTAAGATAACCTAAAGTTAGAAAAACAACACAACTGCACGCTTTGTTAATAAATTTTATTATTTGTATTTTTAAAACTTTTGGGCTCTAAATTTTACCTAAATGCAGTCAGTTTATTTCTTCTAATCGAACCGCGCTTTTTGTGGATGTTTCGCATATTTTGAGAATCAGTTGTGGTGTAAAATGGAAATCGAAGTTCGTTCGAATGACAGTCTTGATACACAAGTCAATGCGTACATTAGCGAAGGCAGATTTCATATTGCTATACTGTCGTTGTTCCTCCTGGATGCATGGGTCATTTACGTGCTTTTCTACAATGCTCGTGTCCTTGGGTTCATTACTTCTTTAATTCTTCGGAAGTTCGTTAAAAATGGATACATAAGGATTGGTTTGTTACTTTATGACTTATATTGTACAGGCTCGATATCTATTTCTGCTATTGGTGGTGTGATAATGGTTCGGGACCTAATTTATCTGACTGATGATTACAGCATTCGGTGTTGTTACGGAATACTTGTGTTAAATTATTGGGCTCCTTTTGACCCTGGAAAAAAAGGCACGCTTTCGTAGTTCTTAAGTCCTACTTTTCTGCATAGGTGTGTAAATTACTCGTCTTTTCATTCACGTAGATGAGGCTACGAAAAGGCGGCTCCACATATTTCTCTATGGATTTGATATGCATGTGTTTAACCGGAACTCGCTTTACGGTGAATTTATGTTGAAAGAAAAGAATCAAGCTAATGACAGCCATCAGTCGCAATCTCAGTACGTGCTGTTCTCGTGATTTTATTGTTTTTATGTATTATGTGCAGTTTGTTATCATTCTACTGTAATTTTCCCTTTAAAGACTAATTTTTTGTCCTAATCCAGATACAGTGTGCAGCAGGAAGATGCACTGGGGTGGATTTGGACAAAATTTGAAAGCCTCTTTCCAGTTGTTAGGTTCCATTTAGAAATGGTGGGTTCAGTTTACATTCCAGTCGATTAAATGCCTTAAAAGTTATTTATTATGTCTCCTGCATTTGGAATTTTATAGTCAAAGTTTTGCTTTGGTAATCACCTAATTCCCCGTGCACTCGTTCTGACGTGCCAAAAGGCACATGGGACGTATATGCAAAAGCATGCTACTTGGCAGTTCGACAAGTATCAGCACTGGGTCTCTTTCGATTTTTACGATTTTGTGGGATCCTTGGTACCTGTCTCCAAGTACTCCGGGCATTACGCCGTAGAAGAGTGAGTCGTTATGCAACTTTTTAGGTAGTAATCGGCGTCTGATCATTTTATTTTTTTTTTCGCTACTCCGTAGACCACCACAAAAGGCAGATACTTTTCGTGTATTTTCTCTTGGACGAGGCCAGATTACGTATAAGCAAGACCAGCCAGGTATTACTAATATCCGTGCAAATGCTTGCATCTCTATACTCATTTTTTGATTAATTGGGTTTATATTGTTACGACCGTCATACCGAAGAGTGTATCTGTTCTGATCAAGCCCTTGCCATACGTAAAATACTTCTGGAATGAGCAAATTAGAGTTTTGATAAATTCCTTACTTCATCTGAGTTTCTGTTCGCACTTTCAGGTTTGATTTCTGTGGAATCAGAGCATGCACAACTTGACGAAAATCAGGAGTCAGTGTTTTATACGTTTCCAGAGTGGAAAATGGCGATAAATGTCGAGAAAGACTTTCTCTTAGCTTATGGGCCCTGGGCTGATCGCCAACGGTGAGCTTCTATAATTTATTTGTGCTTAAGGCGGCATCGTACTTATTCACGTCTTCTATAGCCTTAGATAGTACTTTTACGACTTACTTTTCGTTCTTGGTTCTGACAGTTTCTGCAGTGATACTTGCCAGTCCTTAGTCAGCTAAAGAGCAGTTTACATTGCATCAATCTTTGATTAATTCCCTGGATACGAAACATTACGAAACCTTGTTTTTATTTTAGAATTGGTTAGCTCTTTCTTATGACTTGAGGTGTTCATTAGTAACTTAAGATGTACCATAATGTAACACCTTCCCTCACTGAAACATTGAGCAGTCTAAATAACCCGTGTGGCGTTGCACGTGGTGGCCACTCTGGGTAATGGTATCGTCACTTTGTTCACAGTGAAATGCTATGGAAGTTTTTCTTCCCACCAACTTATCGTCCGGCTGAAGTGACCTCGCCTCCTTGTGTTGGGCAACTCCGTACAACCCAAAAGTTTACTCTAGACATTTCCAGCTCGACCACTGTACAAATGGACCTCTGGTTCGTTCAGGACAAAAACAAGTCAAATGTTAGTTCATGCTTGCATACTCCATCCACCCTGTATAGTCAAAACATTTAAACTGACATGCAATCCTTATGGGAAGTGCGCTGGGTATTCACTAAAAGAAAATGATTAGCTTACTTCGCTTTGCTATTTAATATTAGAATACGAGTAAGGCTCTAAATTAGATCGCTGGTTTTCCTATCGTGATTAGATAGTTCGTGCATACATGGGTGCAGGTATATACATCTGCATTATTTGCTGTAGAAGTTTGCCCTCCATGGTGGACCTGATTCGACCTTCAAGGTGACGATACCGTGGGTGACGGAAGAGGATGGTAGCACTGTGGAGATGGCTTTGAGTTTAGCAAATGGTAGTTTGGTGACTGACTGCTTGTGGCACGACCTTCTCACGTCTTCCTGGTTTGACCTCCAATTGAATGTGCACTATCCAAGGCACTGGAACTCCCTTCAAACGTGGACTTTCGATCTGAATGGCCAAGATATAGTCTTTTCCATCCTCTACTCACAGAAGGATTACATCAAAGGTGTGCTCTCAGTACCAAATACGTCAATAACTGTATATTTCGTTTGTTTTTACTCATGACCTTTGTACTCTGTATCAGCACTTATTCGCGAGCATCGCCTAGTCAGTTACTATCTCCTGTTCGCTTCCGTGATTAATTTCGTCTACTTGTTCATAGAGATACCACTTCAACAAGGAAGCATTACACACACTGCAAAGTTTTCATTTATCAGTACTTCGCTGCTGTTAACATTTATGCGTCCAGTCAATTAAAACTTCACTTTTCACGATGCGTCTTTGATGCTTCAATTCCCTTTTATGCATGAAATCTGATCAAACTGGTGTTGGCGACATATTTCCTACTTATTGCATTCTAGCCTAGCGCCACAAGTTACTAGGTCATTTATATTGACGCTATATCTGGGAAGCAAAGGTAGTGCATGTATGTGTGGTTCCTTTGTTTATAGGCTTTTTCGAAGACTGGTCGAGCGGTTCAAGGCCGGACATTCTCTACTTTGTCCCGTATATCTACAAATTCAAGATATTTGCACAGCCTTTCGATTTGCGGTTGCTGGTAAACGACTACAACTGGGTCGCTCCCACACCAGAAAATGGTAATTATTTAACCACTTGTTCATGTTCATGCTCTCCCACCCCTCTTATAGAGGGGCGTACATGTGGGTCTTTCAGTTGTTATTTAACTCAGAACGCTGAATTGGGCAGTATGTACCTCCAATGGCGTTAACTTGCAATTTAATTTGATTACGTCTTTCAAGTACATAACATGGAATTTTCTGTTCGTTTTCTCTTATTTTTTTGCCCCTATTCACGATACCGGTATTCAGCTTAATAAAAGCTTCTGAAATAGACCTTTACTTGTATTTCAAACCTGTGTTATTTTTCTTAACTTGAATATCACTGGTCTGCACTGCTTGGCTTATTTGTGTAGTTGCAGATTGAAACTGCGCTCAAATTTCAATATCTTATGGTAATCTCTAATTGCATGATTTTACATGATTTTACAACTTTTAGTCCAGAAATTGCTTTGTGCTGTTTTCTTGATTCAAGGGGATACCACCGGTATTCAAAGGCTTCAAAATTTTTTTTGTGCACGACAAGAGGAGCTCTATTTTGAAAGCTTAAATCAATGCTTATATTATAGCGAAACTGTAAATAATTATAAAATAATGGTCACTGTTTTAAGTGCTTTGAGCTATTTTTGTAAAGCACTATTGTCAAAACCCTTCTGATTGATATTACTCTTTCATATTTCCAGCATTTGCGTCTCTCTGCCTGGAAAAGTTCAACTTTGATTTCGATTTGCCATTTATTGACTTCCTGCCAGCTACTGTCCCGATCAAATTTGACATTAACGTAAGCATTCTGAGATCATGTTAAACAAATATGCTCCCACCGTTTTTGCGAGCCGCCGTATTCGCTGTTGGAGGTTTATTTGGCGCGTCGTGACGATGTTTCACAGATGTTTGCATTACATCTGATAGTTTTAAGGATTTGCTGAAAATCCGTTTCTCATAGGTTATTCTTTTTTGCGAATTCGCTGAGCGCCATTACTAGGTTTACTGTAATTAGAATCTCAGTAAATTAAGTACTCGTGCGCTCATCTGATTAAGAGTGGACTTAGTCTTGAATTTCCTAATACTCTTTCGCCGAAACAGCCGTGGTCAAATTTGCACAAAAAGGTGGTGGTTTTAGTGATGCGAAGTAACGCTTCAAAATGCAAGCATTCAGCCGCATAGGTCAAATCTCTCTTTTAGAGGTAAGAATTCTTATCAATTCGTGAGAGGCTTTTGTCTTTTGTTACCAATCGTTTTCAAAGTTAGAATATATTATTACATTACCTTTTAATTTAATTTTTAGCAGTCATGTAGAGCTTCGACTGCGTGTTTTCTGTCCTGGTACCATTTTAGGCTTCGTCTGCGTCGCTTCGCCTTTCAGTTCCAGAAACTAGCACTCTCCTCTATTTGCTTAAAGAGATGCATGCGAATCTCAGACTTGCCAATAGTAATTGCAAACTGCAGAAAAACAACCCCTTCAGAATTATCGAGGAGACTCTTCCGAATACCGATGCTGGCAAAATTCTGTAAGTGTGCTCCAAAAAGGGCTTTGCTGAATAGTCAATTAGGTCCCAAAACATTTTGACAATGGAAATTGAAACCTTGCTATTTTCTCCTGTTTTTATGCATTAAAAGCTTTACTTTGGCATATGGTAGATGCTGGTAATCGTCTTAAAATCCTGGTGTCGACAAATACTTAATGGTCAGATCAGTGCTGCTAAAGTCGGACTACTGTTACTTAAGGAAGTACGTTATTTAGAAGGTGGGTAATAGTCTGGATCTTTTTTCTTGTTTTGAAGGCACAAGCGCTATTGGATTGAATGCTGGCGAGCAATCGGGGTTCATGTGAAGATTGGCTACACCTACTATCCAATCGTATGGGTGCCCGATTTTTGGCGATTTCTGCCACAATGCTGGGGCAAGCATTCATCTAAAAGTCTTTCACCTACTGAGAAAACCCATGTACACCCACATTTTACATATTGTTCTGTTATTTCTTCTATGTCGATTTCTTTAAAAATGCCCTCATTCATTTGGTAAAATGTTATTCAGATATCTGGATAGAATTTCGATACGAATGGTTGAATCTTACTTTGGTTTTAATTCCTCCTTTCATGGTATCCTTAGTCAAATATTGATGTGCTGTTTCAAACGCCAACCATGCACTTGCGGCTCGGCCTACTGCCTCTCTTGGAGCAAACATGTATCGTGACATTTTTTTTAAATACTTATCGGTATTTAAGTATTGAGAATCTTTAAGTTCCATATATTTATTTCATTTTAGCGTTGTCGGTGTCTTATACGTCTTACCTGGACCGTAATTTGCTATCTTCTGATGAGTTTTTTCCTCATCCTTTAGATCCTGGCACCACGTGACCCTGAGGAGGCAGCACTCGGTGACCTGCGTCCCGAGGGGTCGAAGGCTCGTGGGCCCACTGAATCAGAATTAATCAGGTCAAATTTCGATCCTTCCTATATGCTAGCTGACCAGTTGGATGTCCATGTGGCCGTTCCCAGCTCCCAGCTCCTCTTCTACGGTGCCCTCATTCGCTATATTATCCATTTCAAAGTGAGTTAGCATCTGTTGCTTAAGTTGTGAAGCTAGTAAATGCTGCAGAAGGGCTCTATCTGAAGGATTGCGCAATATATTGACATTTAGAGTTTATTTGCAAAGGGACCTTCAAGCACCTTGGGACACTGCCTGATCGTAATGATTTCCACGTCTAAACTCAGTTAAAATCTGCGTGGATCCTCGAAATTATTTAGTGAACCACCTTCACAGGGTGCAAAATTTATGGGAATTCCTTAAGTCTGGCTTTGTTGTCTCTCTCCCTTCCAGTATTAGCATGTAGTCTCGTACGAGCTCTGGTGTAGGTATGCCTCCGTGTCTTTTATTCATCGTGATCGCTAATTAAGTGTTTATTTTTTCGTGAGCTTTCTTGCTCATTAAGTGCATTATTTTTTTTCGAATTCAGGAAAACTACTTTGGTTGTTACCAGACGCCTATAACAGCGGAAGATCTGAAGGTGTATGGCCTGAATGAAAAGGGTGATAGATGTTTGGTGCCTCCTCCACCGATTCCTGGACCTAACCACCCAGGCAAACCAGATACCGTGGTGGATCCTCGTGAATATCGACCTTTTGCGGTCCGAGTCACGGTCGCTATCCACAATTTGCAGGCTCATTTGCCCATGGTTAGTCTTCCTATTTTTATTATTACAATCAATGCTTCTTAGCACTTCGTATCTGCTGCTCCTGTACTACTCGAAATATATGCATTCTTTGGTGTGCTTCTTTTAGATTCTACTGAACATTCTAGTCGTTCAATTATCTGTGATTGTAATTTGTGGCTACTTTCGACACTACGCACAATTACTAATCGACTTGCCAAATTTGTGGAGCGTTTTTTGTATTTAGTATTTTTTTTACCGAATACTGTGTTTTAGAATTGTTTTAAAGTATTGTTTTTGCAAGATTGTTAACAGTCTCGAATTATGCCTTTTATGTGTTAGGTGCAAAGCGTTGCCAACCTGTAGAACATTTAGGATTCATTTCTTGCAATAATTTCAATTACAATCTATAGTCCTCAACTGGGCATAAGTTGATGAAGTCTATTGCTGATAGTTTGTGATATGTTAATTCCGAATTACTTATGTCAATTTCGGCACCTCATTCCTCATTATCAATAATAGGGGTCCTTCCTAAAGGCCTTCGAGTAACTTATAACCAGAATCAAATTACTTAAATCATTATCCACAGCGTGCTTTCTACTGCTACACTTTCTCCAAACGCCATACAAATTTGACCAGAAGCTCTTGCAGCTTTAGAACCGAGTTAAACTCGGTTGGCAAAGCAGACAGGCTCAAATGACACCGGACTCAGCAGACATTTTACGTTCTGGGGGATCCAAGTAACTAGGAATTAGTACAGGGCATGATAAATAGCATTGATTGACTGACAAATATCTACGTTTTATGGTTCATACAATAAATTGCACTTATTTTGCAAGCCTGCAAGTGACATCGGTCATCCGATGACTCATGGGCTGCTTTATACGCTCTTGTATTGTATCAAACCCTTACCATTGTATAAATGTAAATTTATCCACCTTTGCCAGTGGGTAATATTTTTATAGCATATGCGAGCCTTTTGAGATAACCGTTTGTTTTTTCTATTTGGGGCTTAATTCGGTCAAATACTACCCTCAAAGCTTCTTAACGGCTCATTACTTAAATTCTTTTATTTTTTTTCAGCATACTAGTTCAGAAATACCTCTATGTCCAACAGCTTTTCTCGATTGCATTGGATTCGAAATGGATAAGATTTTCAATGAAACAAAACTACAACTCCTCTTTTCACCCGTTCTTCTGTGCGTTTTCGATAAATGCAATGTAAGGCACTGATGTTGTGGCATTTTACCTTAAATCATGTGGTTATTAACACGATCATTATTGTTCTTATTAATTAGGCCTATCGTCCACCCAATGCGGTGAACCTCAGCACAGGTAGAGCTCAACTGACCGGACTTGAACTCAGAGGACAAGCACTGTTCAGCAACAGGGGTTTACCTCTGAAGGCGGAGACGGTGGAATATGCCTGGCTCTTCGAGATCACGTGCGGCACCCTGACTGGGGAAATCACCGCGCCTCAACTCTCCTCCATCGTGCAGAGTGTCTCAAACCTAATCTTCTCAGCTATCGATTCAGAGAACGCTATTCTTTCTCGTCGATCGGGCGAGCTGTGCCAACACGCCTTGGTTCCTGTACATCTGCATGTTATTTCTTCCTATTTTTCCCAGTTTTGCATCCTATAACACTTTTCTCTTAAGGAGTCAGGTCCAATTCTACTGCTTATGCCACATCTCAGAACAGATTAACAGCTACTTAAACCCGGTCGGAAGTTCATACAAGGTTGTCTAAAATTCATCGACTACAGGAAAAGGAGCTAAAATGAGCCAATTTGCATATGGATGACCAGATTCACGGGCTAAGCTGATGATATAGATCGTCCAAAACTCTCAACATTCTCTATCAGATCGACAAAATACGCTTTCTATATTCCAACTCGATGGGAAATGCTAGGGTACTTTCCGATAACAAATACTTTGCTCTCCAGACCCAGTGTTCGTTCTGGTCGAGCAAGTCACCCGGCGCAAAGTTGTGTCCAACAGAGCTCGAGCTCAAGTATCGCCTCTTCCGGTTCAACTTGGATGGTGTAGAACTGGCCATTGTGGAGGCGGGCACGTGTCTAATGATCATGCTTGATGCCGTCCGTGTGGCCCGCTGCAACATGCACGACGTCCACTCTCGCGACGGCATCTCTGTTTTCCTGCCTCGTGTACAGTTCCTTCAGCTCATCAAACCCCTCAGTGCGTCAGTCTATCGTCTTCATTCATTTCACTCCCACTTTATTCTAACAGCTGTTTTCGTGTGAGGTTTCCACCTTCAGATCAGGCTACATTTTGTGACTATTACGGCAAATGTTATAATTTCCACGAACGATATGTTATTTATAACTGAAACAGTATTCTCTCGTTTCTATAAATTCCTGGTAAGGTGTTAATCAGTTCATCCTTTTGTCCACTCTCGGAACCTCATCACCGTTAACAGAGTTTGTAGCACACCGCTATTTGTTGCACATCCAGCTTGTTAAAGTCGTAAGAGGTTTCTGTAGAATAATTATCAGTTACTTGATTCAAATCATATCTCTAAAATTCATTTTGGTATTGTGTTGTCCTATCATTGACCAATAGACAAGTTATTCAGAAACATAGCTAACGTTAGCAGTTTTAGGGATAACTTTTTCTTCAAAATAAAACTTTACTCTTCAAAAATCGTAAATGCTACCTGAGAACATCCAATTTTTTCTCGCAGAAGCCGCATCACAAACACTGACCAGGGATGGTACATTACATAGCGCTTCTGCCAAGACTCCTTTGCCGTCTCAGCCTTGGTTGGAAGCAGGTTCCCTCGGCTTCGGTCCTGTTCACCTTCATTCGGGCATCTCGGGTCTGGACCACGCCTATCGCGATGCTCAGCTTATTTTTATTCGTCACCATGACGCTGCCTCCCATCGTCTCTGGTTCCTTTGGCTTTCGCATGACTCTGTCTCCTCCTCCGACGCAGCTGTCCGATGTGGCTGCTATGGCAACTGCGCCTTTTTTGGCCCAAACGCCTCGGGCAAAGTGCTTCTTGATGAAGTATTAACAGGCGTCTTTTCCAGACGTGCCGTCTTCTTCTCCGATTTAAACTCCAATGCGTCCGGCGTCGCAAACGACGATTCACTCAGCCACCCCTTGTAAGCTCAACTTTCTCTTCCCCCACTGGAGCATGATCACGTGTTGTGCATTTAATTTAACTGATTCAATTTTAACATCTACAGAACTCCTTTCAGTACCGGCGCCTCGGGGCGTAGTCTTGGCGTCAACTTCGGCGAAAGCCTTTTCGAGCCAGATCAACTGCTCTTCCAGCTGCACAACTCAAACGTCTGTTCGGACACCTCAAATGGCTTTGCCCTTATGCGTTTGGATGCAGTGGTGGCAGATGAGGCGTCGAAGTTTGAGACAGCAATTCCCTCCCGAATGTACTACTGCTCCCCTGAGGAAGAGGATAAAGACTCTTCATTTGGCGCACTGCCTTCTTCCAGTGATGAGGGACCTCAAAACCTTAAATCGACTGGGGACTTTTGGCGGAAAATGGGTAGAAAGCGTGGGATAAGTAGAGATCGAGGCAATCACACTTATTTATCTACCGCATCTTTGGAGAAGCCGTTAGTTGCAGGGGAGGTTGAAGATGGTGCGGTTACTGGTGATCGCGATGATTCTGTGCCTGACAACCTCTCCCTAGCAAGCCTCGATGGTATGTCGATTGGACTTCCGGCAGCGCAGATTCTACCTCCACCACCTCCCCCCAGACAGTTGGTCTCTGACGCGGCGGTAACGCACGTTTCTACTAGTTCTATTCCCCTCTTCACTGACACCGCGGACACGCCCTTTACTCAGCGAAGAGGTAGCACAAGCTCTTTGCATTTCAACCATGAACCTTCAAAAGCATCCGATGATTCGACTTTATCTGGTGAAGATTTCACGGCCAAATTTGTTGGTAAGTGTTTGTTGGCGGGTGTTCCGCCATTCTCTACGTAGAATTCAAGTTGGTGGATTGCCTATCTATACTGAATTTCAGATCTCCATGGGCAGTTAAATCGTCCCATTACAGAAAGCACTCTATTGAGAACAGCGTATGTGAGACATTTGAATCGTTACATAACCAACACCGAGTTGTGTCCCCCATTACGATTGAAGCATCGTTGGCGAGTCTGCCGACGCTTTCGGGATCGCCAGCAGTGTACAGTGCAAAATGAAAATGGTGAGAGACTGGTGGAGGGAAGACCCAAATGCGGATGTCGTATTGGAATCGCCAAGGCCCCTGAGTTCCTTTGTTCTGCCACCGGTTTCTCCTTCCGCTCCATGGTGGATGCCGCATCGAAGACGACGATTTCAGAAATCACACCGACTAGTAGTACTCATCCTGGAGATACTAGTTCTGCTCCTTCTTCTTTTCGGATCTCTGATCTTCGGCCATTGCTTTATCCTCGTATGCCACTGCCTTTTACTGTTACATTTAACTGTACTGCACTTAAATTAAACTTCACATAGTTGAATCTAGTACAATTTAGCTGATTATGTACTCATCCATCCTATGCTAAACAGTAACTCCTCATTTATTATAACCTCAAAGCTTCGGTCAATGTCTTTAAAATAAACTATAATGTGAACTTAATTTTATCTTCTCGTACTTTTATTAATCTCTACGTTGCTCTACCTTAGCTCCACAAAGCGTAGGATAAAGACCTTATTTGATCTTGCCGTAGTTGCCTACCTTACTTTTCATTGCCCCCTTTGTGTGAATTCCTCACTACAGTATGCTTTAGTGCTGAATAAGGTTTTTAAGCATGGCTTTTATGGATTCAAAGTTAGAAAGCTTGTGACTATCGAGAAGTGCTGTGCTTTGCTCTGTAGCTCTTTGTCACTTCTGAAGTTTTTACTATGCACTTGGGTGTGATTAATATGTGATGCTTTTATACCTTTTGCCAACGCTGTCGTCACATAAGGGACGTGCCTCTTTTAACAAAGCCTTGGTCCTAATTGTTATAATGTCTTTTCCCTGAACAAACTTCAAACATGATCCTCTATTACTAACCCTCCTCTACTCCCACTATCATCAGCATTGGCGTAACCAACCTATTTTTGTGGGAGAAGTTACTTTTTTAGTCTCTGCATTGCACCGATTTAGGCGATTTTTGACTAAAATGGGAACTTTTTTCAGCAGTACCGTGGTAAATATGCAGCAGACCACTTGACTAAGGAGTGTACATACTTCTCATTTGATGGGTCATTATACGGACATGGGTGTAGTGATTTGTATAGTTATGAGGTGATATAACTGTTTGCAACTGAAGGTCCGGCTTCCATCTTGTAGACTGCTGTGATGCGCAAGTATGCGAGTCTTCGACTGCGTCGGTTTCTCGCTCCTCCACCACGGTTTCGGTTCTCGGCCCAGTTGATATCTTCCTCACCCCTCTCTGCACCGAATGCATCGATAGGTTAGAGCTGCATGGTGTTAAAATTCTTACCAGTTAAATGGTTTATTTTTACGCTTTTGTTTACATATTTACTTCGTAAGTTTTGATAGCATTCATTTATCAAACCGTATGTCGGCATTTTTGTTGATGTTTTACATTGTTATCAATTTGTTTCCATTATATCAATATGCACGTAACTACACGTGCCTTGTTTTCGAGTAAGCAACTGTCGTAGAATGTTGGGATACGAACGCTACCACTGCATGGATCAGAAATTTCAGAAATTTTGCTCTCACCTTACTATTCTACCGGTGGCAATGTTGCTCCCAGAAATTTAGACTAGTGTCTTGAGGCGAAAAATGCGCCTTACCCCATCTTAGATAAAGTAGACATGTGCGCTGATGTGGTTAATTAACAGGTAATTATGCCTTACGAGCTTCCCCTCAGTTACCACAATCAAGGGGAAATTTCATTTTTAATGCCATTTTTAGATGGTTTTGTTAAACGGCTTCTAAAGGTGCCCATTTTTTCACCCAGGTATATAACAATCATGGCACCAGTTTTGGCTAATCGCTCTCCGAGCTCCGTTATCGACGAGCTACATTTCAAATGTATTCTCTCCGCTGGACGTCAAGGCAAGGTGCTCTATGAGCAGCAGCTGAAGCACCAAGAACCCCAGGGTTGCTCACACGCTAAGTTACCACCGTCGCCGTCATTACCACAGCCCACGAAACGCTCCATGTTCTTCGACCAGTTCTCCGAGAATACTCTATGGTTCCACAGAATCGGAGGCGACCATAGCTCCGCTCCTACCGGTAAAACGTCTTCAAATGATCCCCTTTGGATTTTCTGAGGTGATAGGCTGATCCGCTTTATTTAACTTGTTTTCCCCTATCTGGAACCTTGTAGAAACACAAGTCGGTTCATTGGGTCACCGTGCCCAACTTGACACTCCTTTCCATGCACCAAATCTGAATATACCTGACGAGATATCGAACATCTCGGTATCCGTAAGATCTCGTAAACAGCAGCTGCCTCTCTCAGATAGTCGCCACCACCTTGCCGAGGAGAACAACCTTGTGGGCTTTCTTTCTCTTGGTCGTGTGAACATAGGCTTCATGCAAATTTATGCGGTGGAGGACATCGTCACAATTGACAGTCTTTCCTTGGGTTTGCATGATCTTACCTGCGTATCACTGCTCACGCTTGCCGTGGACATGGTTAAAATAGAGGTAAAAGCTAACATTTCTAGTGCATCGGTATGTTAAGTAGTCAGAAACAAAGTGTAATCTTCCCCACTTTTAAAACTTTTTTACATTTGGAGGACCTTGACTACGTAATTGGGCTATCATGTTTCTCTTGAATTTGATTTTAGGTTCTTAATAATAGGCGAATCCTGCACTATAGCGTGGAATCCCATGAACTGGAGTCACCAACGCACAGTTTTTCTCCGGACCTGTTTTCGCGCAGTTTGGCGGGCCAGAGGAAGTTGAGTGAGGTTCAGGAAGAGCATGACGAGGATACCTCTACTGCTGTTTCTCCACTTCTCTCATCGCCCCACCGCCTGGAAACAACCACTCCACGTCCCGACAGTCAAACTGCCGCTCCGACCTCTCCTAGCCCGCGAAAACACTACGCTGGTATGTTTCTGTGCATTTTAACTACCGCAAAATTTAAAAAGCAGATTTGGGGAACTCTAGATGCAACAGGTATCTTCAATAATTATGGAATTCGACTTAAGTTTTACCTTTGATATTTTGTGGCTGCTTAGAAGACGATGTGGAAGCCGGATTGCCGCTACCCACACCTGTGATGCGGTCCTGTCCGTCTAAGGTGGTTAGTGCCACGGAGGTTCGCCACACTGAGCGCCTCGTCTGCAACTTCTCTATCTCTCGCATCCACTCGCAGCTGCGTCGGCTCACGCGTGAGTCTTCCTTCACACCCGAAGTTCTCCTTACTGCCATCCCCTTCTCCGCCTCGCGTGTCTTCTTCGCCTTTGACGCGGACCAGCAGTCGCGAGCAGTCACTTGCAAGTCACCTGTAGCTGGCGGACTCTATACGGGCGTACACGGACCCGTACCGGCCAACCCTGTTCCCCCTCTTCCTCTCCCTCACAAACCCCCAGTCCCTTCTTCCTCGGAATCTTTTCTACCTGAACATTCTGCAGGGTGGATTATGTTTGAGTCTGGCATGGAGGAGCTGACGCTCCTTTTCGTTCAGAGAAAGGGCTATGGGGACTCTTTGGAAGAGAAGTCTGAACTAAGGACTACTGTTAAAAAGCCTATGCCCACCACGAGCGTGTATCATTCACAGGATGAGAATGTGGACACTGAGGATGATAGTGCAGACCTTAATCGGAACATTGGATGTAGTTCCACTCTCGTGGTAAGTGATTAGATTCACCCTTCAGTATGTCTAAATAGTTATGTACTTTTCGAAATATTCAACGTAAATGCCGTTAAATAGTGAACCCTGATACTTTGTTTTTGTGTTGAAGTTTAATGCTTTATGATCTCACCCACTTGCATACCCTAGATACGCTTTATAGAAATAACTTTGGTGCTAATTTCGGTTTCATCATACAATGTTTTAAGAAGTTCTGCTAGTGAATTGCTTTATTTTTAGGGTGATTTGGAAAACAAGACCCTCAAAGATGATACCGATGATGAAAATGAGGGAATTAAAAATGCCTTTCTAATGAACTTGCATGTCAAAACCGTTTGGCTTAATTTTCCGGCTCCCAAACACTTGCCGAACAAGCGCCGTGTCGAAATTATTCGGTAATGGAACCGTGCCCTTGGAAGGCATCTTATGCTAGTTCGCACTCATAACACTTACATTTATTTCAGATCCGACTGGAACTTCCTAAGTACTGTGACTCCAACAGTAAATGCATGGATCGGACCTTGTAACCGCCTAGCGTCAAATTTGAAGCATCTCATGTCCCTTGCAGAGCGTCGAACCCTCTCGGTTCTTGCCTGTCTCATGATGGAAGCAGTGAAAGGCGATAAGCCCCTACCCGACTTTCGTTTTAGTTCCCTTGAAGATGAAGTGTGTTTGCTTTACGCTGGAGACTGATTCTAATTACCGCTGTCATCAATATCACTGATTTAATTTTCGTGACTCCTAGGTCTTCAAAACTTACTCGACCCTGCGCACACCAGACGCACGTAGGCTTCGCTACGACCCCTCTTGTCAGATATTTACTACCCTCCGACGCTATCTGCAAGCCCTCCGGAAGCAGGATGGTCAGGCATCCGTTGATGCCAGACTGAATGAGTGGCTGTGTGAGTCTGTTCTCCCAGAGAAGATGATGCTCCTTCGTGGTCTCTTTCTCATTCTCCGTGAGTGGCGGGTTGCTGTCGACGTCATGGTTCTAACTACTGTTACCCCGGTAATGACTCGGAAACTCACTGCCCTACTACGTCGAAAGAAAGAGAATACAGCTGACGGTGGAAAGGCGGTTTTTTCTCATGACCCTGTGGAACGCCGACCCTCAGGTCTGACGCTGCGCATGTTTGAGCTGTTAACACAGAATCCCGGCAGTTCATCACGCACCCTTAATCCTGCTGGGGATCGTCTTCAAAATCAGGAGGTTTCCGAAACGGTGGAGGAGGTAGATGATATTGAGGAATCCGATCTGGATGATGAATCTCTCACTAATGATTCGCGAGCACGTTACGAAAACACCATCCTGTATCGTTTTCTACAGGACGCCCAACATGGCATAAGGTCTGTTCACTTGTGATTCACTTTGAAAAAATAAAAATTATTTACTTTCCTACTAAGACTAATGTAGTTTCCTGCTCTACATTTATTACTAATGTAGGTATTATTTATAGGAAGTTATTGTTTTGAGTGCAACCTTTTTGAACCCCAAAATCATTCTTTTCTTCTGCCTCTTCTATGGTACCGAAGCGATAATAGTGCAGCTGCTATGGGAGTTTTGTGTGCGTACAAGTTTTTGAACCAATTAATCATTTCATCCATCGTCTTCTAGTATATTCCAGATTAAATACGTTTCCCTTTGTAAAACCCTTTTGTTTTTTTGTTCTTTTGATCTCCAAAACATGTAGACAAGTGGACTCTAGTGCCAATATTCTAGATGGTGCTGATTCCTCACCAAACTACAGAGGCGCTGTGCAGCGGACTCAAGTAAATGTGGAACCGGAGGTTGTGTTTCGTTCGAAGGCCAATGAGAGCGGGAGGAATGGTCTTCAGCATCGTCGCTCACCCTCCATTACTTCGGAGAACGTGAACCAGATCAATCATTTAAGGGGCCAATTCCGATTTGTCGATGATGCACAACGACTCTTCAGACCGCTACTCGAGGCCATAGGAGTTAACATTAAGGTGTGCGCTAGCATCAGACTGCTTTTTTGCTAAGATGCCTTTGATGCACCGAGTATTCGTCCATTTAAGGGTGTCCGTCGTAGTACGCTGATGAAGAAGTTCGGAGGCCTCTTTGCGGCTGAAGGTATGCTCGACTGTTTCCAGATTGAGATATGCGACTCTCTGGAGAATCCACTGCAGAAGCTTAATCCGTCGTCATCGAGCTTAACTTTGGTTGCTGCGAGCGCGGGCTCGTATCACTTGAGAGCAAGCACTCTACCGAAGGTCAATGTCAGCAGTGTTTCAGCCGCAGCAAGATCTGCTACGGGTTTTCCTGGTCCCTCCACTCAAAGAGCATTGATGTGTCATCGGTTCTCCACGAAAATCACTCTTCGCGACGTCGTTGGATTCAACAAGCAGGATGGTGCTAATGTATGCTTTCCGTACTATCCTATGTTAGATATTTCACCTCTTGTTCGTAAAGTGTGATGTATTTTGTAATTGTGAGATAATGTTGGCAACTAAATGTTTACTTATAGTTTCCACACTTTATCCCTATCACTTTTCTATGAAGTATTTACCTCAGTGCTGCTAGGAATTCAGCATTCACGTCTGTGCTTGGTTTATTTATTCCACTCATCTTGATATTTTAAGCCCTCAAATCATTCGAGGTCGTAGTGGTTGAAGTGATCTTATTTTCTTTACTGTTTCAGCCGCGACTGGGCGATGTAGAACTGCGCTCCACGACAACCAAAATAATAGCGGATCTTCATGTGGACAGCATCAGCCAGCACTCAAATATGCCCCTTTTCAGGCTCACCCATCAATTTGTCACCATGTTTTATTGCGCTCGCGATGCACAGAATTCGGCAGAGAGGCGAAGAAACCTCATTGCTTGTAAATCCGCTTTTGATACCAAAGGTGCGTTCTCACGCTCATGTGCGAAAATAACTGTGAACACATTTAACTGTCTCTTTAATGCAGGTGACAATGTTAGTCTCTATTTATTAAATTAGAGTTTGTTTAGATGCGCCACTTTGGTTCCCTAAGTTATCATTATTAGTTTGTATTTACCACAGGGTTTTTGTTACCGTTTTACAGGAGCGATAAATGTTGTTTATAACCCACCGATAATTGATCTGTTTGAATCTGTAGATTCAGCTACGGATACGGTTGAAAGTGGAAGCACCCTTAAGTCACGTCCGGATTATGTTCGACTCAGTGGTCACTCTCAAGATAGCACAATCGATAGTGCTACTCATCAACCCCTCGCCAATGCCGGTGGTAAGTTTTTTTACTGACTACCTTCATGGTAATCATCGCAGTCGATTTTGCAATCTCTTTACACAGAAGGTGGTTTTGTAGATGCGAGTGAACCATATTTTGGAAGCGCGCCTATCCCGATTCCTGGTCGAGGCTCCCAGCATCTGCCATCTTTCGAGTCTTCCCAAGACCCTTCACTCGGCAGGAATGTTGAATCGTCCACGAATCCCCCTTTAGAGGGTACACGAACCCAAGACAAACCTTTCGGCCTGCCTTTTCACTTAACCGCCACTGACCAGTTTCCAATGCCACCGGTTAGTGCCGGTGGGGCAATTCAATCCTCTTCAATCCCTGAATGTTGGAGAAGAATGCTGCGGTATATCGATCTTTACTCGACGGTTCCTGAGACGAAAAATGTCACCAAAAGGGTATGAATTTGGTACAGACTGCAGAATTATTCTATTCCATTGACTAAAATTCTACTCCACATTGCCTCTCAATCAAAGTGCACTTGTAGTGGAGGGATATTTCAGTATTCTGCTTTTTCTGAGTTGTCTGGATCTTACTGGGGGGTGCCAATTTTTAATTGCTTTCAGGCGTCTGTCATGCCAACAATATTGGAGGAAAATGATTACTTCCGTCCTGTACGTCTCGTTTTTTGTTTTGTTGAAGTTGCCTTCAACAGCTGCATGGCGTCTGATTCTTCTCATTTTTTATTTTCGCGCCTCTCGCTCTTCTGCGTTAGTTTTTTAGGAATTCGATTTTTTAGTTCCCCGTTTGTATTCATTCACACCTAATTGACCGATGTCCCTTTTCTGGAGAGCTCTCTTCAGACCCTACCAATTAGTCCAGATGCTTAATGATTTGGGGTATCTTATTGCGCTTGCCTCTGTTGATTCCATTCATACGACGGTTTGCTTGTCAACTGCCGCATGTGAAAATGATTCAAGAATTGAAATAATAATCGTATGGTGAGATGCATGTTTGCTTTACTGTGTGCACTTTTGACGTCGTGCTTTTGTCTTTACTTCATTATTTATTTCATTTTGCTCTTCCTCTAAGTGTATGTCCCATTTGATTATTCGGTATTACTTAGGTGCGACTGTTAAGACTTTCAAATGAAGCTTATCCAAAATTGGATCACCTGTCGCAGTTGTTAGAATAGCATTTTGCTTCTTTAAATCGATTAACAGGTTGCACTGAATTTTCACTTTACTGACGACAACTAGGTTGATTTAGCTGTTGTGTGCCTACCACGTACATTTTAGGATACATTTATACCGATTTATATACCACCTGCTTCCAATCACTATTTGTAGTCAGTTGCTCCAAATAAGGGCACTGTTGACGGTAGTTTTCTTTGTGATTATCTTTTGCACTCCGTAAATCCGAACTGAGATGTTTTTGCTGAGAAAATTTTTATGATGTCTCCCTTGACACGTCCTGTTACCCGATTTCTACCGTAACTTCCACTTGCGAACAACATACCCTCAATGTTTTCGATTTACTCCCATCAGATGTGAAGCTCGATGCAAAAATCATCTTGAACTCGGCGCACTACACACGAGTCTATGAAGGTTTTATCAGCTTATAACAATTGAAAAGATCGTCAAACAACATGGGATTACTGTTTCATCACGAAAGCGAAATCCTAAACACCTGTAGGCATTATATGAATGTAAATAATAAATCCCTGATAGATCTCGACTACGCATGGACAAAAGCTGAATTTGACTTCTACTTCATCCATGTACGCCCGCAGGAGGTGGGGCATAAGGAAGAGGCTGCAACTCATTTGGGCGGTGTCGCAGGTCTGATGGGAGGGTCAGCCTCGCGCTTCTCCTTTATGGGCGGCCGTCACGACACCACAGTGGACCTGGAGGCGGGTCTGGGACGACACCACTCCGCCACATCTGTGTCGGCATCGTATAACTCGACAGCAGCGGGGACCAAACGGGGTGAGCGGAGCGCGGTCCCCTCGGCCTGGTTTAAGACCTCTGAGCGCATCCCTACCGTGGTGCTCGTCACCATGCGTGTGCGCCAAATGACCGTTTCTGCCGTCCTCTCTGAGGTCAACCTCACTGCCGTGGTGCGCAAAATCCATGGTTCCTTCACCAAAACCAGCCGAGTCCGAGGGCATAGTAAGTGCACTTGCTCTCTCTCATCTCCCAATTTTCGCGCACTTTGTGATCCTTCTAATATCGCCCTCTGTAGTGAGTTTTGAAATAGGCCGTTTCATGGAATAAAAAGATACCTGTTACTGACTGGGCGGTAAAAGGCTTCCTTACCCATTACATTAAGGTGAGCTGTATCAGTGGTTTAAAAGTAATTACGTCTTTCAATTCTTGGTGGCTATTACTAAAAACCCATGTATTTTGAAAGTATGATAAAGATATGCGGTTAGCCTTTCGAGTTTTGAATGAAGTTCCGTGTAACAAATACACTAACCATTATCAATTTCTGTCCATCCTTTAGTGACTTGAAATCAGTCGTCAGTTTTAATCCTTTAAATTTGTACCACGAGGCAGTTTGCTGATTACTTTCAAGAATTTCTGTTTTTCAAATGAAAGTGATAGTGGATTGACTGTGTGGTGAAGTATGCAAGAAAATACTTTTCCATTCTATAGGTCTATTCAAGGAGAGGTCTTCGAACTTCAGTTTTTCAGGTCACTTTGGAGACAGTGATGTTCGGTTGACTGAAGGAATTGGCAAATTTGCCCAGTAGGTTATTTCTGAAAGGTATACAGTTGGATTTGGTAATCTATTTAAATAGAAAAAAGCATTTCTTGTTACAAAGGTGGGGTTTTTGTCGCAACTTTGATGTTTGTTAGTATGTATAATCAAATGCTTTATCGCGTTGAACCACAAATCTCTATCACTTTGTCGAACTCAATCACGTAGTCCCCACTTCTGTTTCAGGGAAGCTGCGTACATGAAGGTTGATCATTCGCACGTCCTGCTCTCCTGTGTACGATCGTCGCGCTACGGCGAGAGAAACGCCTGTACCATCGGGTTGGGACATGTTGAAATCACTGTGCCTCATCACCCAGTGAGCCTTCATGGAATGGTCCAGCGGCAGGCAAGACACCTTAGTACCACTGTCTCTGAATTCTTCCAACTGCCCAATAATCCTATCGCCTCTTCGTCCTCCGGTAGTCGAAAGTATGTTGTCGAACTTAAATCTAGGGCGGATTATTGTTTTTTCACTCCCACTGATTTGCGAATTTCAATCACTATTCGTTATCCATGTAATTTCCCAATCTCTGTGCTTCGCCTCCAGACGAACTTGCACAGATGGATGGGTGACAGCGAACCCGAAAGACTTCAGTCGTAGAACAGGAGCTGAAGAACATCATCTTCTCGGCAATGACGGTGCAAGTGGTCCTCTTCTGATCATCAATATGACAGCCATTGCAAGAGGCCTCACTGTTAATGTCTCTCTTCATCCTTCTCTCAATGCCATGTACACCGTGGATCCTGTTTATTTCCTGGGTCAGGTTGGACCGAATGGCTATCTGGACGTGACTATTAACAAACATGCACTCAGTTTCCAGTCTCTGGTGAGTTGGAAAACCCCGCTTCTATCCAAAGGCAATTGATGAATCACTGTGTTTGCTTGCTCCAATGATTTTTTGGCAGCTAAAGCTAACTCAAATCTCTTTCTAACCGTTTTCATAATGCTTCGCGTGTTTTCGAGAAGCCATTTCACTCTGACAAAGTTTTTTGTTCTTTTTTTCCAGCAACTGCCTATCATGTTTCCGCAATCTGTTAGTTTAAGTTTGCCAAAGGTTTTGGCATTTCTGGCGCGCCGTCAGTCGCCTGGCGGGCATTGCATTCTCGGCCCCAGCGGTGAACGAGTCGTTCCTCACGGACTGGCCTCGCGCAAAGGATCCTACCTCGACGCACAGGTCTCCGTCGGATTCTTCGAGCAGCGCTTGCCGTCCGATAGGCTCAACTACATAATGGTCGTCGTCAAACTCCTCATGAAGGTGTGTTTGACCTTACCTTTGTTGGATGAAAATGTGTCTGAATTTTACCATTTGAATTGTGTCCGCTGGCCTTGTCCTACTTGTAGCTGAGTATGATTTTATGCGTGATTATTCTTAACCTCAAATTACACTTATGTTTTTAATGAAGGAAATAAATGAAGTTATCCGGAAAATGGCTGGTGAGCAACAGCCTTGGCAAACGGCTGTATTAACACCGGGTAGTCAGCTGCGTTCTCGATCCATACAACGACATCACCAACAACAACAGACCCCTCCCTTCCGTCGTTGCTCAGCTTCCATGGTCCCACCCGAGCCCCTTTTGGAAGTAGCTCCGGCTCTGCCCAATCGATTTTCTGTTTCCAATCGCTTCAGTTTCCGGTGAGTAACCGCCTACATAGTGGTTCTGTCAGCATTCCAATATGTGATCCATGTTTTTCTCTCACTACATCTCGTTAGTGGTCTTTCTTTCTTCACATGCAGTGTGAAATTCGGTGGAATTCTTCTCCTTGCCAAGACCTCTAACGGTGCAGTAAAATTTGAGACCTCCGAAATGCATGTCGAACTCTCGAACAGAATAGGCAGGACTCATAGCAGCTGGTACACCGACTCCTCTTCCTCCTTCTCTGCACGACCCCATCCTGACCTCTCGGGTTCTACACCACCTACCAAGAAGACCGAAAAAACCCAACCCGCTCAGGATTCCAATTCTCGACCACAGGCTCCTTCAGATACACTCTCGTTTACAAGTAGATCATTGCATTCAACTGTCGATGTTTTTATTCTGCTCTCCATTTATCGTTTCACTTGCCCTTAGGTTCTGAATCAATACTCATCTACGCCAAGATCGATCATCTGAGCATCGAACTTGGTCATCTTGATCAGGTACGATTCCATGTTCATATTTTTATAACAGCTTATCATTTTTCTGAAAAGATTAGGATTTTGTGAGTTAAACTCTCAAAAGCCGAATCGATGTTGCTTGTTTTGATACCACCGTTGTCTTCATAGGACGTCTTTTACGAGGTGTGGGACCAGGAGTTTCGCACCCTGGCCTTCTTCCGCACAGCTATCGCTCTCCGCTCACTGCTAGCGGAGGAGGCGAGTCTCCCTACCAATCAGCAAGTGCACCGAAATCACCCTCTTCGCAGCCCCGATGAGGGCTTCTCTCGCTCTGGCCACGCCCGCTCTATGCCTCCGCGCACTGATGGGGACGTCGTCGATACCAGTGGCGGCAGTGCCGGTTGCGTTGGTGGCCACTCTGGCACAACTAGCGGTGCTAGTAGTGTCATCTTCACACCATTTGACAACGCTGGTAGCTGTGGTATTGTTTCTGCTGTTGGTCAAGAGGCCTTTTTGGTATCACTCCACCATCCGATCATTTGGGCGAAACCTTCGGCCTTCGATAGAGGTGCCTGTCTCCATTCTCACCATGTTGAAACAGTTCCTTGATTGATCATCTCCTGTAGTTTTCGTGCAAAATATCTCATAATTGTAAACGGATATGTTTAAAAACTTTGACCTTAAAGTAGTTGGTTTTTTCGCTTGAAATGACTGCTGATTTCTCAACCTTTTGATTTACAAAAGCGTTAATATTTCCTTATTTATTTATCAAACTTCATTGATCATTGGTCGTGATTAACTATTGCTTGCACTATATATAACTTGGAGATGGAATTCTGTCTAGCTAATTTGCAGGTCATAAATTTTCCAATTTCGTTCATTATGTTTAAAAATATTTTAGCAATACTCATGTGGATGGTCTATAACAGTGAATTCGCTAAATGGAATGAACATATTCAACAGTTGGATGCACTGGTAAGTTGATGTATTTTTAAGATTAAAATTGCGTAGCAGTAATGGAATAAGAAATAATTTGGCAACTCACTGAATAACTATTTGTTTCCCACTCCTCGAGCGTTCGGTGTAGTTCATTTATTGGCACTACCATTCGACCTCCCGGTCATAGTAAGCAAGGAAGAGAAGTGGGTAGGGGGTAGGGTAGGGTAGGGCCAACGTAAGCGCTTTAAATTTTCGTGTTTACTTTCACACCGTTCTGCAGTCTAGCGAAGTAAATGTCACCTCTCCGAAGGCAGAGAGGAGTCATAATGGCGCGGCCTCTGCGGCACCGCTAACACCCGCGTTCTTCTCCGCCTCTGTGCCTTCACGTCCGGTGGCCTCACCTAGCCCCTCGAGCCCTTCGTCAGTGGACAACACGAGCTCTACTGGCATAGGCAGCCCCCCCAAGCGCAGCCAGTTGCGCGATTCTACTCCACAGCCAGCTCTCCCTGTGCCTTCCGGCCCCATCCTCTTCTTCCAACTCAATGTAGAGGACCTGGGCATCTGTCTACCCACCAACATCCTTCAGGTTAGTCATTGTCTACTCAATTACCTACCTCATCTACCTATTAGACGTTACTACTTTGTTTCTCCTTTAGCTGAGTCCTCAATCTATGGAAGTTTATTCTCGAACCGCGCTTGTACTGACCCTGGAGCAGAGTCGTATTTCCACTTGCCTGCGCGGCTCTCTGGTTAGTGAGGGTGAATTTACAGGTAGATCTGCGTAACTTACTTCCGCACTTACAGGCAAATAATGCTTATTCATTAATTATCCTCTCTTTGAGACTTTTGTCTACGATTTGATGACGATTTCAACGTGGGCTCTGATGACTGGAAGCCGGATAAGATTCGCTCAATAGTGACCGTCAAGCAGGAAGAGCATTTGGTCATTATGAACGCCTGTGTGGTGCCCAGTGGTACATTCCGAGTCTGCTGGAAGGCCGTCGAAGCCCTGCGTGCAGGTGGCTATTTCTCTTTCCTTTAGTCTCAATTCGATGCAAACTTCACTCCGAAGCAGTGTAGTCATTTTTAACACAAGAAGTATGCATTGACTGAAAGGTAGTGTTTGCTACATACGATATCCTTTTAACTGTGATTCAGGACTTATAGTATTATTGTTCCTATAGTTGTGCATATATTATTTTTTGTCAAGCAACCTGTTCAATAAGATATACTAACTTTGCAGTGTTACCATAAGATAGGGTCTTCGTAAACATTAATGTCGGAATTTCTTCCTTCATCCTACAAATACATCTCTACATGATTTTTTTTTCATAAGCATCAATGTTACTGCACTGTTGTACACATCCCTATTGGATCCGTCAGCTACGATTTTAATGAATTTTTGAAGATTAAACATCACTTTTCTATTAATTGCATTTTTTGGAATCTTCTACCTCTGTAGAAGAGCGTGGTCGATGGTTAGTGAAGATTCAGTATCAGATGCGAGGTCTCGACCTACACATGGATGACAATATCGGACGCCGATTGAATGCCCTTTTTGACATTCTTACCAACATGGATAATGTCGAGGGCGAACAGCAGACCTCTGGCTGCACTGGTGGTGGTGGAGTGGAGTCGGGAGCTAAAAATGGGGCTGTTGATGAACACTCCTCCTCCTTCCAACCTAACCTCTCCGTTGACGATGAGGCTGACGTCTTCTGCCCTCCTCAAACCAAGGCTCTTGATCATCCGATTCTCCCCATTGAGTGAGTTGCGCACACTCTCCGCTTAAATAGGCTGTAAGAACTGTTCTGGGCTAAATTTCATCCATATGTACTCAGAGTAGATGTTAGATCCGATTCAGTGTTTGGGCGATAATTGGCTAATGTCTCTCGAATTCTGTGTCAATGTCTTCTTCAAATCATCTTCTAATGGGTTTTTGTTATTTTTCAGAAATACAAACTTCAGAATTCAAGAGCAGTTCAGTCAATATAGGCGTCTTAAATGGAGTGATCTGCGAAGGAAGACAACAATAACCTCTCTTCCCCGTTGCGATCTTCAGAGGACTGGCTCACTGGTCAAGGATAAAAGGTGTGATAAGTGCCCGGGTTTTCGCAATAACTTGATGTCAATTGCTGCATCGGCAAGCGTTACAACCTGAGTCGCCACGTGTTATGGGCTAGAATTTCGATGTGCATGTGACCTGGATCATCCTATTGAGTTCCCAATCTAATAATAAATAGGTAACGACTTTATTGGTCGACTTGACTGTGGGTAAAAAGGGTGTACAGTGAGTGCATACATGCCGAGCGGTCAACTGATAGAAAGTGTCAGAGACGGTACGAGCTGGTGATTTTAGTTTCACGTACTTATAGCAATTGATTGCTTATGGTCTTTAAGTGTTTATCAAAGCACTTAAAGGGCATCTCTGCTTGATACGAGTGAATCAGGGGGAACGAAAGAGAGCGTGACTTTAGAATGTCTGGAGGTTAGGCATCGATTAGAACCTCAATAACATCGAATAGGAACGTTTTTCTGGGATTGCAGACACTTTCAGCATTTGTTGATAATCGACTCGAGGGCCTCTTTTCATCTGTTCTTTACTCCCAGTCTACCCAAACAAATCAGTAGTGCTGTGCCCTCTCCCACTCTGACTGAAGATGATGACGATCTTGTAAGTGTAGGGGGCTCATTGAACGCCTGTGATCTGTCAGTCTCGTCACGAACCGATTCCGTCTACTTTGATGTTGAGGATCCTGTCTCAGGCGACCGTCAATCTGCTATGGCCGCTCATCTAACTAAGGCACCGTCAACCCTCCGAGTTGATAAGCATTCTGATCACAGGGCAGGTAATGACTAATACGCCTAGTAGAACGTTAACCTATCGAGTCCATTCGTTGTCGCACTGCTGAGCCACTTCCCTTCCAGATACCTATTCTTTGCAAGATGAATGCCTTATCGGTGTTACAAAAGTGGATGGGGAACGTACCACTTCTGCTCGAGGGAACTTTCGGCAGCCTCCTACTCCACCTCCTCGCAAACATGCCTCCACAAAGCAGCCATCCTTCTCCAGTCCTTCTATGGAGGAGCCCCCGCGAAGTAGCCTACTTCTAGAGCTGGATATCAACATCCACGTGGACTCCGGCAGGTGTGGTCTCCATCCTCGTCTGTCCAAGCAGGAGGGAGGTGGAAAATCAATTTGGCCCACCTCGCCGGCTATAGGAAGTCCTTCCCTGCAAGACGATCTTTATAAGGCCTATCTGGCCAGATACAAGAGACAGCTATCTCAGGATCCCCTCCTAAAACCAACTGACATCTCCGTGTTTTATTTACCCGCACTCGATGTTGGAGTGAGTCTTTCAGAAACCATTTTTTCTTGATTTTTTGTTCCAATTATGTAAATTTATGCTCTATGTATTTCAATTTCTTGGTGCTACCAGAGTGTGAATATATTCTTACATAGGAGCCGATTTTCATACACTGTTTTTTGAAGCGTTTATTTATTCTTTCCTCGTTGTCTTTCAGCTGCACTACAAATCGCACACGAACTATGACCTCTGGAATCAACAAACCTACCGCACATCTGTGGAGAAGCCTAAGGCAAGGCCGAAACTGGTGGTTGGTGATGAGGTCACGCCAGGCGAGACGACTCTTGAGACAGTGCACGACACTCAGACAGCTGTTGCTGACGAGCTGGGAAAGGCGGCTGAAGTGGAGGCGAAAGCAACAAAGGAAGCGTCGAACAGTGATTTTGAGCGTTCACTGGACCCTTCTCATAGGTTCACCTCGGGCACGAACACCACCACTGGTGTCTATCCTGATGTCGGTCGCTCCGCTGACCTTTATGCCAGTGTTGTGCTTCAGAAGCTGCCACAGGTGCGTTTTTTTTTTGCTACTCTGTTAGAGAGCATCATAATGGGGAACAGGAAATTTGAGCATTCTGATCACCAGCTTTTCTTTTGCCTATTTGGAGGCAGTTTGACCGAACACTAAACCTTACCTTTTGAACATCGAAGTATTCCAAGTCTCAACACTGTATTTGGCTGTATTTTAACTGATTAATGGGTTTTTAAAATTTTCTTGTATTTACGAACTCGTAAAACTATCATATCTAACTATTTATTGCTGCTAGTATTTATTTTTTACTTGTGTTACTTTGTATTTCAAGTCATTGATTGTGCATCCCGGTTTGCTGGATTTCTTGGAACAGGCGTTGGAAAATCTTCCAGGTTGGTGGCCACCCATTTTTGCGTCTATGTCTAAATTTTATTGCTAAAAAAATCTCCGTCTTAATTTTGCCCGCAGCCGCATTGGATTTAGAGTCGGATGATGGCCAATCTACGCAACCAAAGTCCTCTGTTCAACTCAACGACGCCCTGATGACTAGCACGAAGACATTTTTGGTTGATGTAGTCGTTCACCTATGCATTCAACCATCTACCATCCGGTGAGCCATCATTGCATTGATTTGAATACGAAAATCAACGTTGATTGTTTCTTCAGTTTAAGATGCAATCACTTGTTACTTAAAATGTTTCTCATAAGTAAAGCGTTTTCATTTTTTAATTGTCCACCCCAAAGTTGTACTAAATAACGCTACTTCGGAGCATAATTAAACCACTTTAGCTATTGACAGGATAGACACCAACGTTTTTCTATATTATATGCCTTTCAACTAGGAAACTACATTTTGGAATTTTTTTATGAATATGTTTTAACTTCAGTTTCCTCTGTCTACCCGCTTCTCAAATGCAGTGCCTTATCACTCTCCCGTCAATGAATATGATATTCTCCACTGAACGCCTTGCTGAAGAAATTTTGAAAGATGCTGGCATGTTTGGTCTCTCTTACTATCACATCGCTTTTCTTTACGTATTAATGTTGCTGTTTTTTTATACCATCAATACGTCATTGCGCTAATGGCGCAAAATTTGTCTTCACATAACTTCTTAGTTTGCTTGATTCAGATTGATTTTCATACTTTTACAATTCAATGTTGTTCGTTGTCAAGTGTACCTCCAACAATGATGTCCCGCCGTGATTTTATTAGTGCTAATGCTCTCTTGTCTTGTGTGTTTATAGATGGAAAACCTGCTGGTCGTCTCTCAATTACAGCCAATTTAGCCGATAACATTGTCCTCGGGGACCTTGTGTCTGCCAGTGGTCTAAACGTGACTGCCATTCTTAACGGTAGAACTCTTTTTTGCCTTCTAACTTATTCCTTTTCCGCTTTCCTTTGATGGCTTTGTAAAATGAACTGGGTTATTATCACCCAATAGGTCGAAATTTGTGTAAATGGAGGTTGCTTTTTGTGTATTATTTGCAGAATTCCGTATGTCTGTATTCCACCCCTATGGTGGAGGCATTGGCGGAGTCTTGCGGACCTCAAAGGGGGCAGAAGGAACATCACCAGGCGACTCTTTGACGCTGAAGGTGCGCGACATACGTCTCAACATCAGCCGTACCGTGCAGACCAACGTCGTGGGTCAACAGCAACAACAGCAAACTCAAGCAAGGCAGTCTGGCGATCCCGATGCCCCGTCCGATGTGCGTGCTGCCACTGCCACCATGACTAGCTATGTTACTGCCAACTCCGGTACCGGCAGTATATCCCTCCACAACATTGTTCGGTTCTCTGGTAGGCTATGGTTTATTTATTCTTTTACGGCTCTCAAACCTCTTATTTTGAATTTTCATTTTATGTCCATTTTTATTAAATTTACCTGTCATTTGTAATTTGAATATTTACCCAATGTTTTCAGGTGTTGTTGACATTGGTGTGGCGGAATTCAAGTGCGACACTAGAAGGAGCTTAGAGATTCTACATATTCCAAAGGCGTGGTATAGAAATAGCCTTGCTAGAGCGCTCTTCATTGGAAAGGACTCGAAAATACCTCGTGAGTGACTCCTTTTCTACTTCATCGCTCACAACGCAAAGATTCAGCCACCCATTATTCGGCACTTTTGCTCTTCAGTCCGCCTTTTCATACTAATTCTTCTCTATCATAGCTTTGATAAGATTGTCCAAATTTTGAAACTTGTCTTTATTTCTGTGATTCTTTTACAATTTCTTCGACTTATAATAAATTGCTTTTCTGAACAATGTGGTTTCGTCATGTAGCAGCTCATGATGTTCTTTTCGTGGGAACTTTCATAAACCGTAGTTTTAAAAGTGTAAATCTGGTTCTTGGTGCGCTGCTTTTACGATCGGTGATTATTTATAGGTAAACGAGAAGGCTGGGTGAAAGTTACAATGTCTACTTTCCCCTTAAGAGAAGTATATGCTTGGGGAACTTGTTTTCCCAGCAAGTCCGTAAATTCGCCGTTTGGTTTCGACTTTGTTGATTCAGTGTTTATGAGCATCTCATGGTCTTTACCCTAAACCGCCCTTCGTTATAATGATTACTGTTTCATTTTCCGTATTTCTCCTGCGCTTCAGTGGTCTTTTATTGTGCTTCTCTACCAGACCCTTTGTCATAGCACGCGTAGTGAAAATGAGCACCTCGTAACGAAATTTGCATTTTACATTCGTGTTGCAGAGTCAGCGGAGTCAACAGAAGTATCAGCACCTCCTCAAATTGATGATGAGAATGCAGAAGGTGATAGCGACGTGGTTAGTGAGGATGAGGTAGCTGAGAAAATACCAAGAAACTACGCCGCTCCACCAGGCGCCGGAGTCGATGATTCTCTCGCCAAGTGGTTGCAAAAGGGACCTCGGCTAAGAGGCACGTCCCATTCATGTGATGGCTAATTTACTTTTTTAGATTCAGTCAGGAATCGTTCTATTTATCGTTGTTTGCGTGTTTGTATAATTTTTTGCGTATTCTCCTGCCGCTTCCAGGCAAGGCACGAATCGGCGCGGGCACGGCCGCGGCTCCGATTAAGCTGACCGCCGCCGCCGCCGAAAGCGCATCGAAACGTCGCAGCGCTACAGCGCCTCGTGAGGGGCTGACGGAATCTCCTACACCCCAGACAGTTTCCAACACAACTACTCTACCTCCACTCGTCCCACCCAATTACCACGCTCCCGAAGGTGGCCTCTCCTCCACTAGCCGTGGTGGTGGCGCCAAGGTGGTCTCCTGGCAGGCTCTTCCCATATTCTATGTCAAAATTGGTAATTTGGACATTCAAACCTACATGGGAAGCGCTATGGGTAGGACAAAGTGAGTTTTACGCCCTATTGGCTGATTTCCGAAAAGAACCTTTTGGTAAAAGCAATTGGTTATATTGATTCATTTGTGCATTATAGACTGGATGTACGCAATGTATTTTGTGACGGTCGACTGTATCAAGACTCTTCCAAACGGCGGCGTGGTTCCCTGGGTGCGGGTGTGCATCTCTGCCAATTCACCAGTGAACAGGGTGTTGTGGGTGGCGAGTTCACCTTGTTAGACTTGGAATCGCGCGCTCACTTTAAGGAGGATCCCCGCTGTGATCCCCAGCACAGTGGCGAGTTGCTCATCGGCGGCTTTCAGCTGCGTATTGAGTATATGAATACAAACATAGTCTTTCTTCGAATTAACCAAGCTGAAATGTACCTCAGCGACGAATGGCGCCTACGGGAGGCGGACCATCTCTGTGTGAGCGGAATGGGCGATGAAAAGGAAAGTAGTGTTACGGTTCCTGCCTCGCGTAAATTCTCCTCTCCACCAGGTGATAGGAATACTGAGACATTTGTCACTTCCAACATCGGTGCTCCGCCGGTCTACGTTATGATTGCTGGTGAAGTAAATTGGGATCAACTTCAGGTTCGTCAGTCTGTTTTTTGACATCTTATTGGTTTCTAAAGGGTGGATTGTGCTCTAGTGAGGCTGGAAGTATTCATAGCACTACTGGAATCACAAATGTTAGGTGGATGGGCAGTAATATGGTAATTCATGGTTCGATCTACCACTTCGGTGATAGGTGGCGATAGCGCGGACAACCACGGTTGATTTAATGCGCTCGGCACGCAAAGTGCGGGAGTACTTTGAGGAACAATTGCGCGAAGGTCGTAACAGTTGGGTAGGCCAGGGCGACTACCTCCTGCGGCCGGAGAACTCCAGCGTAGGCGTGATGGTGGACACTCGGAGTACCCCCATGGACAGCCTTTCACTCCCTACAGGGAGCGGGGAGACGTTTGAGGTCGTCGAGCCAATGGTTGTAAGCGCCGCGTTGGGCTTCTCCTGCACCGAGGCCAACGTGGACAAACTTCTGCAGCGCCACTGGCAGTACCCGATGCTGGAAGCCATCAGGGCCTGTCTGGCGCACATTGGCACGCAGGCACCCCTCGTCCGACGTAGCCTCCTAGAGTCTACTGCACCTCCCAACGAGAACTCCGTACCCCCCGTACTGGGAGGCTCACTTCAGCTAGCTGGCAACTCTCTTGCCCTTGCCTGCTTTGCTGGAACCTTTAGATCTGCTCCTGACTGGGCTGTCTTCAATATGCAACATCCCACCATCTGGTAAACTTTTGGTAAATTCGTAACCTTTCTGTAGCTTTGAGACGGAGGCGCAGAGGGAACCGCGCCACCGTCCCATGAAGATGGGGAAAAGTTCAACACTGAACAAGAAGTCAGTGGCCTTCGCGTGTGAGGGACCCGAGAGACTCCCGGAGAGTATCGACGAGGTGGGCGGGTGGTTAAACGTACGACAGGTGCTGAGCTTCGATCTAGGTCACCAGTTGCAGTACCCACCCCAGACCGCCTATGTGCTGCGTGTGAGACGCGGTCGCGAACAGAACCCCGTCAAACTGCCTGTCACACTCACTATCGCTGAATGGCTGGAATTTATGTTCACAGGTGTTGACATCACTGGTAAGCTTTTATGCCACATTCTCTTCAGTGCCTCTTGTTTATAAAGGTGCATTATTATTACAGGTATGATTTGCGCTGCGACTTATATTGCAAGGCCTAAGACCAAGTCGAGTTGAACTAATGTGCGAAGCTTAGAGCCTTGATGTTTCATTAAGCTAGTGTCTTCTGTATGGCACCTGTCAACAGCCTGATTTGTGGCAGCATAATTTGTGTTAATGAGTTAATGATCTCCCTCTCTGAGCCTTACATCAGAATTCGATCTAAGTGGTAACATCTAGGGCCCATTAAGCTGTAGTATGTTTTGAGATTGTTATTCCCAGTTGATGGGTGTCGTGAAAAAAGTTTATTGTATGTTTTGAAGAGCTTTTAAGAATGCGACTTATCAGCATGCTCAGAGAATAGGGAAAACGGTGGTGGAAGCAGACTATCGGAAGTTGAATCTCATTTCAGAGAACAGACCTTATTGCGGATTGTTATGGCTGGTAGTGGCAAAACAATCCTGGGTACTCTTTGATTAGGTATTATTTCAGAATCCAAAATTGTTTTCTTTGGAAATTATCCACGATTTCAGATGGTCAAAGTAATCCACCGAGGCCCACAATCTTGATTTCAAACGTCCTTGTTCTTGCAATTGTTCTGAAGTCTCTGAGATCGTTGCTCTTTGTGCCGCTCAAGTTGGATGGTATTCTGACTTATTTCATGTCCACCCCTTACTAAGAGCAGTTTTCTTTCATCTGACTCGTTCTCCCATCTTTCCTTTCAGTCCTCAGTTATGTCCGCGGAGCTAATCCCCACCGCGCCTCGGATGTTGTGAAGCGTAAGTCTTCACTTCACACCCCCTTCCATACATCATGATCTTTTTCATTATTATTTCGACATCTGGTCAGATGATTCGTCTTCAATTTGGTCTTTTTTCAATCTTCAATGGTTATAACAAACGTCATTGGCGTAATCGTTTAGATTTGGGTAGAGCCACAGTCACTCTAAGAACAAAAATTGAATCATATATGGGCCTGTACTCGTTGTACAAATTTTTCGCTCTCATTTAATTCCTACAGAGGGTGTTATAATAATAGATGCCCACTTTCACGGAATGCGGATTTTTCAGTCCTTTACCCCTTGCGGTTTTCACGTTGATCACAACTCTTGTATGACTGTCCACTCTTCGACGTAGTTGGTATTATTGATGCGAGAATTTTGAAATATTGTGTTGTGCTCTTTACTGTTAAAGAGCAAATTGTTGTGAAAATCACGGAATTTGGCACCATGTGGTTTTCTGGTTCATTGTAGTTACCGAGTTCTCCGTCGATTTTTCTGCCCACGTATCGTCAACAAGCGACTCGCTTCGTCGTCGTGTTGACGCAGTGAAGACAAGTGTTGCCACCATTACCGCCTCACCTGCTGCTGGTGCTGTGGTGACGCCTAGGCGCCCCAACCCCCTGAAGCCGCCAACAGAGGCGGAGATTCTCTTCGTCCTACCTTCCGTTTCAATGCGTCTGACCAGCGACCAACGTCAGAGCATGGCTCATCCCAAAGTCTCTGAGCTTCTTCTCTTCTCTCTCGACCTGCAGCACGAGAAAGCGACTGCAGCTGCGGAGGCGGCCAAGAAGTCTAGGGTCACGACAGCATCCGGGCCTACACCCTCCGACGAGGAAGGGGAGGAGGTGCGTGAGGGTCAGGAAAGCAGTGGTGGCGATGGTGAGGACGAAGAAAGTGAGCGGGAAATCGAGGGTCTCTCTGCCAAGGTGCACCTCAGTTTTCAGACAGATCTTCATGGGGTCATTCAACTTGGCCTTCTCGATGTCCCTTGGCTTCCCCTCCTTATAAAGTCCTATATCGATGAGCAAATGCATGACACAGAAAGTGAGCTTCTGTTTGTTGCTCAATTGTGTTCAAACATTGCAAGAATGCCTAACTCACTATATTGTAAGAAATCGAGGTTACCGATGCCAAGAATGTTTAAATGACGTGTGTTATTTGTTTGTTGCTAGGCTTAGCTACTCCTGACCCCACCTACGCGGTGACACCCCGTACCCTTGAATTGGCCAAAGAGGGTTTCCTGCCAGGCAGTCATGGTGCTACCGTGGCTGCAAATGCAGTGAGTACGGCTTCACCGATTGTCAAGGACCTACGTGGATATGATGTTATCCACTGGAATCTCTCGCCTGAATGTCGTCTACTCCTAGCCTCCAATATTGACGTACCAGCATTCGACAAATTTCTGGAGAATATCGGTTTCCACAGGGCTCGGACCACTATCCCCAAGTGGTTGCAGCGCGGCGTGCTCGATCATTTGGATTCTGCAGTAGCTGGTCTGGTGCACACATCTCTGCGGTTGGCTGATGAACAACGCAAAAATCAGAAGAGGGGGGGAAAGTCTGAACAAAAACCACAAGAACGTCGCCTTCTGGAGGACGAGTATTGAAGTAGCCCTCAACTTTAACGCCTGTTTTATTTTTATTTTTTTTGTTAGGTTGCTATTTCATCCGGCTTCTATGTACTTTTGGCATATAACATTGCTCGTTTTTTTGATGTTTTGTATTCTTCCGTTGTTGGATGTACAGCAGAGTTTCTCCAAAGCACAATACTTGCAGGGCTAGCAGAATAGTAGTTCCCAGCAATAACGTACATTAGTGGTACCTAAAGTGTTATCTAGCGCTCCTTTCGGGCAAACATCAATACAGCAGTCCCTACGTCTGGAATGCTCAAATACTTTTGTAGTCGCCAGCAATTTTTGCTGCATTTTAAAACATTTACGATATTCAGTGATTCCAAGGGGAGACTAATGTACTCTTGGTTCCCTTCCTAGCTTAAAGCGAGCCTAAATGAAAAGTAGGGTTCAGACGCCCTGGACATATGGAGTGCTGTTAAATGTGAAGTGATAATTGCTGTACACTGATCACATTACATGAGATGAGCTTTCGACTAGGGTGTGCCAAGCTTCCACTTCAACTCGAACAGACCTTGAAATTTATCGATTATTATTTGACGTGCAAAAAGCACGTGCAGAAGCAATTCTATTGCGAGGTCGTGCGCTTTATGCGCCTGCAAAGTTATGCCTAAAAACAAGTTTGAGCAATTTAAAGATGGAGACATGGGGAATATGCGTCGCATTGACCGTTTGAGTGGCATCATTGAAGAAGGTCCAAATCACAGAAACGTGTCGAATTCTACCAAAACCACCAGAGGTGATTGTGATCTGCCGATGGCTAATCAAGACTTGACTAAGGTGAAACCACCATCAATGCCTAGCACATCTTTCGCAATGGAAAGAGAAGAAACTCTGAGTACATCTGGTCTAAAGCAGAAACAGATTCAAGGCTTACCTTCTCCTTTAGATTCCGAGAAGTTTGTTAAAAAGCATTCATTTCTTCAAGTTAGGTCGAAAAGTTTGCAAAGAATAGCACAGCATTGGCTATGGAAGGCTCATGATGCCTCAAAAATGAAGAAACCAGTTTGCGAGAAATTTGAACTTGAACCAATTGACTCCAAAATCAATTCGTCCCTTTTTGATGACCCGCCCTATGAAAAAGATGAAATAAGTTTCTCGGACCCCCCAAGTTGTGGCGAATCAGCTGCTGAAAAGTATGCCGAGAAGCCTCCTGATGTCCAACAAAACAATTCCGTCAATTGTGATTTCGGCGACTGGCCGCAAAGTGGAGACTCGTCGACAAAAGCGCTCTATGCTAATAGGTATGATGAAACAGATAGTTGGGATGGCGTCCAAAATATTTGCTTTGGGTTTTGTGGTTTGTGCTCCAGACGCACAAAACGCAGTCTTAAATCTTCAAAGCGTCAACCGAATCTGAGGTCGGGAGACCAGAAACCGGAGGTTTTTGATGTTCTAGTCAATAATAATGTGGGATGCACCATCCCACACAATTTAAACTGCGCCATTCGAGGTGTAGGTGAAGTGAGAGTGTCCTCTCAAGCACAACCAGAAATGATTATTGAAAGAAATCGAGAGGACGGTTTAGCGAAAGAAGGGGAGGAGGGAGAGAAAATATGCTCTTTCGCATTGAAGTTGCAGAAAATGCGCTTGGATGATTCATATAGTAGTGGACCTGAGAGTGAACAACTCTGCAAACGCTTACAATGCCTTGGGACGAGGCAAGGAATGAGTTTGTTAAGCACCCACGAAGATGATGTCGACGACTGGTCCACCGTAGGCACTCAAATGCCTACAAACCAAACTCCAAGGATAAAAAACTATGGCCAGATTGCACGATTTTCCCAATCACCTCCCAACGATCGTGTTAGTAGGCCGCAATCTCTAGTAGTAGATGAGCAATTCAACTGTTGCAATGCCCATGTGGATCCACTGGTTTCAGATCTCCAGACGCGTTTGTTACAAAATGAGATTTTATCACTTAATATTCAGTCACAGCAAATAACTCATCCTTACTGCTTAAATTCGGCAGCGTCAACCCCCAGTAATGTGTGCGAGGACACAGTGTTCCATTACTCCCAACTCTACGCTCATCCCAAATCAAACATGTCGCTGCCTGAGTTCAATCCTCATAGAGGAAACCGCAACACTTCCCACAAAACTTCCAGTCTTAGCTCTTTTTTCGATGCGTTCCCCTGTGCAGAAGATATGTGGTGTAGCCCGAGTCCTAATAATTCGAAACCATATGCGCTTGAGAAGCCTCATAGTGAGTACGACGATTTGAGTCAAAGAACTTACGTGATCGCAAAAATTGATCTTAATGGATCTTTTGGACCGCGGACCTATTCCATTGCTTCAAACTCCCACTCCGAGGTGGACGATACTGTAAAAAACGAGTGTTTAAAACAGCGCAACAATAACGCAACAAACGAGGCCCCCCATAAAGTTGATTTCGCTCTCCCCGGAGTGGTTCAAAAACCCCCATCATTTCTCAGTTTGATAAAAGAAGCCCGTGCCGCAAATATGATTCCACCGAGCTTGTCAACACCTTCATATTCGTGGGAGAAGAAGGAAACTCCTGAAAATGACTACATGACTCTTCCAGCCCGACGTCCAAGGCAACAAAAACAACAAGCCGATGAAAGTGAGAAAGTTAGTTCTAAGCATGTGACAGAGGAACTTATGCAGATAAAATCTGCCACGCCTCCACAACAAGTTAATCAAAACAGCACAACTGAAACGAAGGTGCCTTCTTTGCAGAGTGTTATTGAAACCATGCAAAAGTTGAAAGCCACAGAGATGCAAATGAAGGCCATAAAAGAAAAAGAAAGGATTAAGAAAATTAATGGGGAATCTGAAAAGGCAATAACTGCCAGCCAGGCCATGGAAAATGCCAAAGGTATGTCTGTGGTTGACTACAAGGAGCGCAGACGCTTACGACACCAGAAGGAACTGGACGAGGCACGCAAAGAACTGCTCGAGGCGACGAGAAGTGCTCTTAGGGATCGAATCGCATTCAGCAGGAAAGAAGGCAAAAGCACTTCCTCCTCCGGTGTCAGCAAAACACTATTCTGCGGATCCACGAAGGCAATGTTTAACCCTGACGCATCCTTGGGAGATGTTGAAAAAGTTCCAGAGAAAGTGGAAGAAAAAGAAGTTTCCACACCGGAACCGGTGGCAAATGTGCCCAAAACAGAACCACCGCCTTATCCCACCTCAGTTTCTGATGCGAGCAAAATAGAGGTTGAGAAAGTAGCAGCCACAAATTTTGATGAACCTCCTAGAAAGGAATTGAAGAGCACGCCTCCAGAAGCTAAAAAATCCCGAAAAAAGACAGATAAACAGGTCAACGGGAACAAGAATGCTAACGTACTGCCACCTAACAACATGCAAATCGTACCAACGGAAGACACCCTGGCCGAACCCTCGCAAAATTTAGCTATGCCGTCACAAATGCTCGTACCAGTTCCTGTCAGTATGCCTCAGTACGGAATGATGCTACCATTCAGTTTCCCACAGTACGCCCAACCAAACTTCTATTGCATTCAGAATCCCTGGGAGTTCACGGAACACCCGAGTGGGGTCCAGGGCGTCTACATCTCTGAAACCTCTTCCTCTGGTAGCACTTCGTCTGGGCGATATCGACAGACAGTCCGATCGGAACCGAGGCGGCACAAAGACAACTCCTCATTCAGCAGCTTCAGTGAGACTTCATCATTCTCTTCAGGCACCCCATTCTCAACAGACAGTGAGTCATCAGGGTCATCATTGTTAGCATCCACCTCAGAGACGTCCTCCTCGCCGGACCAAAATAGCAGAACCTCCACTCCCAGCCCCTCCGACGCACCTTCACGTGCGTCACCTGGGGCTTCACACTCATCAACATCACCACCGCCAGCTACACCGATGTCATCCGATTCCTCATCCTGCAATGACTAAGGAGACAATGGCCAACACCTTTATTTTGTTCTTTAACACATCTCAGTGCTTTCAAGACCGTTGCCTTAAGTCCCTCTAGTAACTTGCAGGAGTGCAGGGACAGCGACCATTACTTAGCGTCACACAACCACTTTACGTTACCATTTGAAGAACGTGATTCTAGCACAAAAGTGTCGCGTGCGCCGTGACTTATAATGGCTAACCTAGAAATAAAGTAAACAAGCCTACACAACTATAAAGTATGTATCGGTACCGAAAACACTCAAATCCACAAATAATACCATTTTTGGACGAAGAATGATGTAGTAAACGGAAGTGCTCCATTGCAAGAGAAGGGAACACCATTGTAATAAGAGAAAGATATTAGAGATGAGTACATACTATTTACATCAGTGTGGCTAAAAAATATCAGTGGTGGGAATGCTTCTTCTTTTTGTGCTTCTTCGAAGACAAGCCTTTGTCTTCTCGTGATAGTTTGCTAAGTTTCTTAAGCAGCTTTTCTCGCTGCTTCTCAGACAAAGACCTGAGGAATTCGACTGTCAATTCGTGCTCCACCGCCTCGGGGTCTAACCCGTGAGAACTTGATACGGCACGCTTAGCTTTGTAGACTATTGCATTGAGACCCGTAGATTCAGCGGACTTTTTAAACGCCAACCCCTCCTTACGTAGGTTAGATTTCGCGCGATCCAGAGATCGTAATGTGCCGGCCGTCGGTTCTTGGGTGAACGATTGCCCGTACAATGGGCAAGTCCGATCTGTGTTCAAGTGTCCCCACTGTTTGCAGCGCATACAGCGCACGTTTCTGACTTCTATACCGAACGGCTGATCAGTGACGTCGGAGGAATTCTTGCAGTAACTTTCGCGGGGAGCATTGTACTTCCGTTGCCACTCAAACTTCGCTTCATTCCTGTCCGTCTCTTTTTCCGGTTCCATGACAGCTGGTTGGTCATACATCCATGCCAATCCCAGACGGGCTTTCTCATCGCCAAGAAGCACACGATTTTCCAATATTTCCTGTTCGCGACGATACTGAGTAAGCCTCTCCTGTTCTCTCTTGCTGTCAAACTCCTCCTTTTGCTCCGCCATCCACTTTCTCTTGATGTTTTCGAAGTTTGTTGGGTGAAAAAACTTCTTGCACATGTAGTTATTGTAACCCTTGCCCATCGTACAACAAAAGCTGCGGCAGAAAGAGCAGGTTAGCGAATTAACGAGTAAAAACTGGAGTAGCTTTACAAGCGCATCTATTTAAACAGTCATCAAAAAGAGCCTAAAATTAGTAAATTTGCCGTTGTTCACTGCTTAACTATTTTTTGCTATTACAAGAAATATTACTCTGGTTAAAAGCCGTTTGTTTCTGCCTTTTAGGCAATTCAAAAATATCTGGGTTTCAGTGCAAAAAAAAATATTTTAACCTTACTTAGGACAAGACTGTGATGAAGCCAGGAATATTTAAATTAAAAAAGGGGATGCTATAGTAAGGAAAACCAAAAATTCAAAGTAAATCTTTTGTATGACTGCACAAAGTAGTTCCAGTTTTCTGATAAGCTGAGGGCAGATCCTAATTAATAAACTCATTCAAAGTTGGTGCACTAAAATGGTTATTTAATCCTCGGATTTGATGGCGAGCTACTTTTGACTCAGTCATTGTGCAGCGTTCCGAGACTCCCTGAAGACGAAAGAAGACACAATACTCGGGCAGAATATATTGTAATACTTATGTTGTTTT